TAAAATATCTGTGGGGAAACCCCCTTAAAACCTTTATTGAAGGCCTACGCTAAGGGTGCTTTCGCATTTAGAATCTCAACTCGGAAAGTTAATCACTCTGCCCCCCTGTTTTTACCCCCAAGATCCAAGAGGCTGGAGCCGCCAACTGTACCTACTAATTTTGAACTTCCGTGATGAATACTGTAAAATCAGGTTCAAATAAGCAATTATCTCAAACTGTTATATCATCAAGAAATCTAACAGCGTCATCACCTCCTTGGTCAATGCACAGGAGACAATTACAGGCTATTCTTAACCCAATTAATTAAAAATTGATGTCCATTTCTATCGCTGACTTTAATTAAATCCTTCTGTCGTCACCATGTTTACAAGCAATCTATAAGATATGTAAATTGGGTGTCTTTTAGATTTGGCTGTTCGATTATTTAACACTTTTCATTAATTGAGGTGTCTTCAGTTGTTACAATTTCGTTCAGTATGCCAATAAGAATAAGGCTTTGACATCAGCTTCAGTAAAATGGGGATTCGATTTTTAAATAGACCTAAAAAACGACAATTTTTGTGTCTGTTGTCGCTTTTATGGATGTCTGCAAGTATTATTATATGTAAGTATATTGACGAATTCTTTTACGCTATGCACATTTTCAATAATGTTAATGTTAAAGGGGTCGAGGTATTATCGAGGGGTATTATGTGGAAGGCAGTGTAGGGCTAAAGGACCAAATGCATTTTAAACTTAAGCCTCAGAAACGGGATTTTTTTTTTAGCTAAGCCAATCAGTTATAGTGTTCAAGGCTTCTCGTCGGAATTTGAGCCTTGACATCCATGTGTGTCCAGAATTATCCGCGATTGAATGTTAAAATATCCATGTGTGCCCAGAATTATCCGCGATTGAATGTTAAAATGACGACTCGTCAATTTAAGATACTCTGTGATATATAGGCTAAAAAATACATATATAGGAAAAGTGAGTAAAATTCCTAGTTTGAAGTATTTTAAAGGAATTATGCGAATTTCGTACATTTCTATTACTTCTGGAGACTATTTATACATATAATCAAGATTAAAACCAATCCCTTAAGATGGCGCATCTGTCCCCGTTAACTCTTACATATATTGCATATCTTAAATTAGGCCTACTTTGAGGGTGAACAGGCCAGTGGCCATTGAGACACATTTGTAAAGGTCGATTCGACAACTATGTAAAATTGTAAGTTTTAAAATAGGGTGGGTACCTACACCTATTATGGTAGGCCTACTTCCATCTTCACAATGTCAAAATATTACCAACTTCGTCTAATACCTTGACTACAATAGCCACCTTTCTCGTACACGGAAGTTTGTAAATGCAGCGATTTGTTTCGATTAGGCCTACGGTAGCGAATTCAGCGAGTTCTTGACAGAAACAATAAGCCATAATGTTTTCTGTCAAAACGCTGCATTCCGTGATACAAGAAAGGTGGTTATTGCAGTCAAGGTAGGCCTTAATACCTTGACCATTGGGAAGTCAATCAATCCATAGACTAACTTCATTCAACATAAGTTTGAAGCTAAACACACTAAACAATTTTGAATAATTAGGCCCAAACCACCCCCTCCCCCTGGAGAAAGAATCATTCAGCTAGTATTAGTGACACTTAGTGCGAAAGGTATTTTCTGCTCAAGGCTGGTGTTATGTCAAGCCAGCTATAGCCACCAAAGGTGTTGGCTTAGCTGTAGCCAGCTGATACAACACCTCAACCAGCCGAAAATTGGCTCATGTAACCTATAGCTGTAAATAATCCTGGAGACCGCCTGTGAATTTAAGTAAAAACTTGTTAGAAGGAAATTATTGTTGTCTGGTTTCAAAGGGTTATCAATCTTTTGTATTCTTTTATACAAAGAGGCAGATTCTGTCGTCCGTAGAAATCTATTTCTTGTGGCTTTAATAGTTTGCTTATTTCTTCAGATGAACCATTAGTTATGAATATGTGACATAATTTAAAAATGATAAATTGTTCACCTCTGACTCAAAATAATTGACATGTCATATAGAACCACTTGACCACTTGAAAACACCATGTCTTTGTCTTTAGTTTTTCGTGATTATTCAACCAGTCTTACATGATAGTAAATATCTTAAAATTAAATGAATTTGTGTTGAAATGTCATGGGATCCATAGAAATGAAAGGTTTGATAATTGATACCTTGAAATGAAAACACTTCCCTCCAAACCCTCCCCTCCAAACCCTCCCCTCCAAACCCTCCCAACTGTCCCAGGAATTGCACACAGAAGTAGTAACAGTGGGATTCAGTGAGATTCTTTTCATCTAGTATAGGCCCAGTCTGTGTATTTTGGCAAAATGCAACTGTCAGCATTGTGGTCAAACAGACACTTGCACTCTAACTGAGGGTCCTATGCCACGAGATCTAGAAAAAAAGTTCAAGATTTAGTTACTCCTTTAAACTTTAAGGGACAGACTTGCCATTTTTGGAGGTTGGACTTGGGTCTTCAAAAGTACTGGATATGTACAAACATTGCATAATTCCTTCAAAAATACCACAAACTATTTCTATTTATGTTTTTTGTATATATGACAATCTTCATTGTAAAAAATGATAATTCTCAACAAACATGGACTTGAAGGCTCAAATTTTGATGGTGAGCTGTGAACACTATTACTGATTAACTTAGCCAAAAATTCTAGTCTCTGAGACTAAGGTATGACTGGTCAAACAGATGGTGAATTTGTCCCTTTAAGTCTTAAGATTTGTCTCTGCTAAGACATGAATTTAAGACTGATCATGAAATGACTTAGCCAACTATGAAATTTTGTGTTCATAATGTATGCATGAGTAATGACATGGCATACACAATTATGTCAGCCTTGTCATTACACCGCAAAAAATGACTGGAACATTGTCTTGAAATACAGCATTGTTACATGTATGTCAATTAACAATATAGCCTTCGGATCAAATCTCACCGAAAATGAAAAATGCACTACAAATCTCATAAAATTTTCTTTGCTCATTCAGACTAAACCTTGCTTTCACACCTAAGCAGAAATGAGGGAATAGGTTTATTTTTAAAGGAAATTGATTATGATTAAATATCTTTCTAAAAACTGTTATGAAAGTAGCCCCATGGATTTAATCTGTCATCCATTTGTAACAGTAAATTCTCTTTTGCAATACTTTAGTAAGGCACATTCACCATCAGCGTTGAACAAGACAGACCCACTTTTTATCAAACAATTTTTTTTTCGCATAGAAGTAGGCTTTATATTCATTGATATGAAAGTTATTTAAAACTTTTGAAACTTTTGAAAGCATTTAACCAAATCTTATAAAATGGACTCTTGTTCATACTTCGCAATAAGGTATATATCTGCACCTATGTTATATGATATGAATGTAATATTCATGATAATTATTAAAATACCATTCTAAATAAAAGTTCACATGAAGCATTGCCCTTGAAAATAATGTACATTTCATTGTATTTCCTCAGTCACTCTTCAGTGATTATATTTATAAGTAATCTAGTAGTATCCTGTAAAATTTTGGTAAAATATTGGACTGACTGTGTATATATTCCCTTCATCAATACAAAATATGGAAACAATATATATATATATGATAATAAAGATTATAGATAGATATCCTGAAACTGTATACAAAATGTTTTTGAATAACTTAATTTTAAGTGTAGGCTATGATTAATTTACTAAATTAAGTAGATAGAATTAATAGAATATATATATATGGTTTATAAGACATATAGAAATAGGCATAGATAAAGAAGCACAAGATTTATCATTTTTCTATTTTTAACTTTTAACATGCTCATACAGACTTTTCTCTTGACAGTGTGCCTATATGAGTATGCAAAATGTTAATAAATGTTACAATTAGTATATCCATGTAATATATATATTATATATAATATATTATCTTGTGCTTTAAAACAGATTTGTAATGAAATACATTAGATATTTTAAACCACAATGAAATATTGTGCTTGACAATAATATATTCATACTACTCTGTTCTACTTCATTAATTCAATTACCAGTATATCAGTTTTCATATCTATAGGAGCATTAATTCTTTAGGTTACAGCTGTAGTATAAGGCTGACTGTTGAACTTTACAGGTTACAATAAGTAGTGGGAATGTGACATATATATATATAACAAATAACTGTGCACTGTTTGGAGATATGATTCTACGTTGTAAAAGGATGTGGTACTATTACTATAGACAGTCTTCATTTGTACTGTGCCTTAGTTTCTTAACACTATGTCTTATATTACTATGTAAGTTAGTGCAACTTTAAAGTATGATTTTTATAATAGAAAACCATTATGAGCTACTGTATTTTAAAACATGGTGATCTGGTAAGCTAGGCATGACATGACCTGTTTGAGTTGTCTGACAGAATTTAAAGTGATTGTGCAGGCATAGAACTGTATTACAATTCTATGGTGCAGATTGATATACATAGAATAGTTTAAGCTTACAGGCTTTGTTTTGAAAATACTTATAATGATTTATAGTTTTCATAAAAAATTAAAAAAAGGGTTGCCTTTGGTGAAAAATTTGACAGTACAACTGTTTTTGACAAAATTATCAGCATACATATGTTATATTATACATGTATAAGCTTAAACTAGTACTATTCTATTGACAATATATACAGTATTATCAAAAACTGGTAATTTGTGTTCAATGGGAGAAAAGGAAAGATCTAGCACAACCATTTTAAATATAGTAAACTAACTAGTATCATTCTGGAGATAAATATATTTTTAAAATGAACTTAATACAGAGTTTCTTCTATTTCAGATTTATTTTTACTTGAAGACACTAAAAAGCCAGAAAAGCATTATGTGTTTCAAAAAGAAGTGTTCAATGAAAATAAGAAAGATCTTCAAGCAGCACCCCCTGTTCCACAAGAAATTGATAGAAACAATGAAAACAGCGATGGAGGTGTATTGAAATCTAACACTGAAGAATATTGTAATATTCCGAGCTTTTCAGAATCTGGATATGAAGGTGAAAATTTATTAACATTTCAAGTTTTGTTCAGAAATATCTCAGACAAAATATTGTACCCCTTCAAAGCTTAAAAGTGTCTGTCATTAATTGTTGAGATAAGAATGTTTTTGTAATTTGTTGTTTTTTAATGATAATATTAGACAGCATGGAATGGCAGTGAATCATGTCAACAGTGGTCAAAATTTACTATAGAAACATTGCTAACTGCCTTCTACTTTATATGCTGTGGAGATCAAAATAAATTATGTACATAGTTTGAAGATTACAACTAAATTTACTTTGTGGAAAATTCAAGAGGCGTGACTAATTTTTTGACCGATCGTACCTTAGTCACAGAAATTTGAATTTTTTTTTATCTAAGCTAATCAGTAATAGTGTTCACAGCTCACTGTTGAAATTTCAGCCTTCAAATCCGTGTGTGTCCAGAATTATCCACACGACAACTCATATATTTTAAGATACTCTGTGATATAGAGAAAAGACATATAGAAATAAAGGGTAGCATTACTAGTTTGAAGTATTTTTAAAGGAATTATGCAATTTTTGTACATTCTATTACTTTTGAAGACATATATTCAAGACCCAATCAACCCCAAAAAATGGCGAACTTGAACTTGTCCCTTTAAGGAAAATGTTGTTTAAACACCTAATGCTTTTATTGTGGATGGTTCTCTTTTCAGGTGAAGGTGCTGAAGGATATGAGTTAAAAGCAGTTTACACTGTAATACGTCATGGTGATCGTACTACATTATATTCATTCCCTAAAACTTCCAATCCATCTATTAGTTGTCATATTGATCAATCTCTTCATCCTAGATTGACAGACTTCATAGACACCATGCAGATTAATACTGGTAAACAGAATATAGGAAGTCAGTTTGAAAGCTGGGCATTGTATCCCAATCGTCAAATCTGTGACAATTCATTCTTAACACCTTCAGGCTCCTTACAGCATATATTAAATGGGGTACACTTAAATGAGAAATATGTGAAAAAGTTAAACTTGTTTAATGGTGAATTTACCCCAGATAAAGTTAAAATCAAAGTCACTGAATATTCACGAACTTATCAAAGTGCTGTAGCGTTATTATATGGATTCTTACCACATTTTAATTTAACTCAGCTCGATATACAACTGTCAAGGGGTGTATTATTTTGTTCTACTAAAACTGTTGGATCTGTGTGTTCATGTCCAGCAATACAATATTACAAAGGACGTGGTGTCCAAGAAGTTGCTCAACAAATACGATGGAAAAAGGGTAAATTAAGAAATGTCTTAAAAACAATTGCCAATGTTTTGAACATAGAAACAAGTCAACTACCATTTAATTTTGCTGTTTTTGATATACTATCTTCATTTGTTTGTCATAATATACCACTGCCTTGTAATGAAGACAATCAGTGTATAACAAAAGAACATATAGTGGACTTGATGGATTATCTGAATGAACATGCTAGAGTGTTACATAACTCAGCCAGTTTTAGAAAACATAACAGTTTATCAAGCTATGCTATATTAATGGACATAGCTCATCATATGATAGATGTGGCTCAAGAAAGAACTAATCAAGTGTTTTCTCTGTATTCTGGACATGATAAAACTGTGGCACCCATTCTATCTGTGTTTGGTTTAAACATTGGTAATAGTGTGAAATATGGAGCCAGAATAGTTTTTGAACTATACAAACATCATCATGATAAAGATCATTATTTTATAAAGATTTTACATCATGGCAAGGATGTTACTGCTCAAGTGAATTTCTGTAAAGGAAGAACAAGAAATGGTGTATGCAAAATCAAATACTTTCTTGACTTCTTAAAAGTTGACCTTTTACAGGAAACTGGACAAAAAACATTTGCAGATGCCTGTAAAATTGTCAGAAAAAAATGAACAGATTTTTTCTAAATTGTTTAGTTTTTATTGTGAAAATGATATTATTTATTTAAGTTTCTTTAATTCCCAACCTTATAGCCTTTCCAAGCCCAAGCAAAAAAAAAGAACAAAAATTTGTACATCTGTACCAGAAACATTAAAGTCTACAGAGATATTGGAATCATTCCTAGATCATTACATACATGTACATACATACCTTGCTATTACCCTGTGTATACATTTGAGGATGGAGATCATACTAGGTTACACCATGAAGAATGATTTTAGAAGAATTTATACACAATTTCTGAACTGGGCCTACAACCCTTGTAAAGCACCTTAACTTCTTGTAAAAAAATATTTGTAGAGGAAAGCCAAATCTATAAACAGGTTGAAATCTACAGATGTATGCTTTAAAGAATTCCTTATCCTTGGTATAAAAATAAGATTTAATTAAATATGAGATACATATTTAATCACACTTTATTCTGAGATATCACTGAAATATTTTATGTGGTCATATTTCATATTAAATATTGTCATTGTTTGATACAATGAAGTTATTAAAGTATCTCGTCCAAATCTGTAAATTGATAGTTGGGAGATTACAATTAGATTAAGCTCAATCAAATTATGGTTTTAATCACTTCAATTCATGACAGTTGACAACGCACGCGTTTAAGCTGACTGATTAGTTACAAAAGAAAAGAAATATTGTTTTATTTTTGTTGCTATGTCGATATATCACGTTATATATTGATTGTAATCTAAGGTAAGAACATTTCGGATTATATGCTGGTTTTAGTGTCTGGATGTTCGTGAGTTATTGATGTGTCAACAAGAAAGATGGCAGCCAACAACAAAACCGATTTCAACTTGGAGACACTTTTAACTGTATTCAAAAATTGCAGAGGAGAAGACAACAGTCTCAATATTGATAGATATAATGATGCTTATGAAGAACTATGCAAGTATGTGTATTGTTTGTTTTTTTTATTAGAATGGTAAGTTATTACAGTTCTACACAGGTGTACGATTCGTTTTCATGACAATCTCTCAATGCAATCACTATCGTGGCGATACCAAGGCTTGATCAATAAATTCCACGTTAATACTTAACGCAGAAACTTTTAGTCCGAATCATCCACCTCTATTCCAGCCTCTGGTTGATATTTGACAGTTGTCGGTTGGAATAGGGGCAGAAAAAATAGGCCCGGGTAAATGGGTATTTTCCGCACCTTCGAGGATAAGGTTTTTCTAACATAATATTAAATTGCCTTTACGATGACTTAATATTAAATTACCTTTATGATGACTGTAAATTTGTGTTGGGCATCACCATGACTTTCGTTTTGTTAGTATAATGTGACTCTGTGCACCAAACTTTGAACTTTTATAAACTGAGGCCCCGTGTGCTACAGGCTGTGCACGTTAAAGATCCCTTGACAGTTGGAAATCAAAAAAGAGCTGGCTAATGCCGCTGTCCTTGCAAAATTTCCCTCACTGTACCCTGCATGGCGTTGCCCACATGGTGCAGAAAAGTAGAATGTAAAAAATTCATTTCATTTCATAGGGTTAAAACCTTAGCTGCAGAAGGTCCCCTTCTAACAAGGCCTATTTTTTCTGCTTCTGCACCAGCTGTCCAAACAGCTATCAGATGCTGGAAGAAAGACATATGTTTCGGTCTGTAACGGATTGAACTGCATGTGTGAGATCAGTAGATTTTTTGTAAATAATTAGGCCTTCAGAAATAGTACCTGTGCTCTGTCTGGAAGGAATTACAATGCTTACCTTGCCCGACAATTTCATATTTGTTTGACTGTTTTAGAAGATTATCATATAATAAATCATCAAATTTTATTGTACAAGAGAATGATATCAATGTAGTCTGTACTTGTGTAAATCCATTAAATATCTTAGTGTGCTTCAGATGTTACTTTTTATGTTGTAGATTGTTTTATTTGTTGGGAAAAGTTTTCTCCTTTGTCGCATCTGATGTTGAAGAAAAGATTGGTATTTTACGAGAGTACAGAAAAAATGATGAATCAAATCATTATAGGACTATAGACAGTATGATTCAATATGAAGTTGATAACAAAATTACTAATAACAAGAAAAAAGCGTCTGGTTGTCGAACATTATTACGACTTCATCGCGCGTTAGAATTTACTTATGAGTTTATGATTGAAATTAACAAAGCTGATATAAAGGATAAAATGTCCACTGCTGCCTCAGAATCATATGGTAGATCATTAGCCAAATTTCATCCATTTTTAATACGTCAGGCAGTTTATTTAGCAGTTCATACTTTACCCAGGAAAGAACTACTGATGAAAAACATGAATATTACAGATGAAGAGAGTGGAAAAATAACCTTGGAGCAAACTATTCAAGAAATGAAAAAAGTTTATGATATTACCCAAGATATTTATACTAAAAATAAATTATTAGACTTACCTTAATGTGCAATAAACTTTCATTATTTTTTATTTTCATTTGTGTTTACATCCATCTGCTGTTTTGTCATAATGCACTGTTTATGTTAGAAAAGGATTGAATACAAATAAAGGGGAAGTTTTTAGTAGAAATGTATATTATCTCAGGTTATAATGAAGCATAATAACAAACCATTCCAGTATGTATGCTTAGAGAAAATAATATTTATTGAATTTTAAGATTTTTGTGAAGAATGTTTTCATTTTAAGGAATTAATAAATTTTTTTAATGTTTAAAGATTTGAAATTATCATGTAGAAATATTATTTATTATTAACTGTCTTACTCAAGTTGCACAAACTGAAATAATATTCATTTTAAATTCTTTTATTTGTAATTTGTTACCTTTCCACCACCTTAACCTGTATATTTTTTATATTGATTCCTATGTTAGAGCCATCAAGTCTAATTAAATTTGTAGGGTATTGTTCAATATTGATTTTGAATAAGTTAAGGATTGTAAATGTATTAATTTCTTACCACATATGTTAAATTTTTCAATTAGTGAATAGATTATATGTTGAACATGGAGAAAATAATGTATTGCATACTATTTAGCTTGTTCAAGACAAGTGCCGTTATATATCTTGAAATGTATATTGAAATATTTTTGTCTGTGATAAAATAATAAAATACTTGACATAATGATATTTAATGATAGCAGAAATTCTGCTTTACACATCTTTAAAGAGAATCTGAAAAGTTGGGTTAATCAGGTTAAGAGAAAGTGGTGTACAATAAAACTCAGGAATAGTATACCATACAATTGCGTTTGTTATTTAATGTGATGTCTACCTCTTAATCCTAGCGGTGGCTTTTACTGGCCATGTAATTACACAATATCATAGGCCTACCTGAGCAACCGGTAAAACACTTTAAATTATATTACTTATTGTTAGCCATCACAGGGCAATCTTTCAGACAAACTCCATGTGAGAATAAGAGGACAACCTTGAGAAAATGGTCCGAGAGTGTTAATCCTTGAAACAAATAGGAACTGATGTAGGGGAACTGATGTAGGGGAACTGGTGTATTGTTAAAATGTGTAAGTTTAATTGGAATTACTGATGCATTGTGTGATCCTTTAAATGGAAATGGTAGTACAATAACTGTTTCCACAAGTTCAGATTCAGTGGAAATGTAGTGGTGTATGATTCTGAGATACAAATATACAGCTTATAGAAGAAGACTATGATTTTATTCTAAGTGTACATAGTAAAATAGAGATAAAAGTAATAAAGGATTGAAAAGTTTAACAATATATTTACTAAAACTATCAAGTGACTAAATAATATTAAAAAAGGTTTGAGTAAAATAAAATATTTCTTGAAAAACTTATATATAAAAAAACACATGGCCATAAGGTATCAATTTGTTAAAGTTGGAGATATTCACCAAATTATATATTCATCATTAAAATAGACACAATATCACAGAAGTCAACATATCACAGACAAACATAAAAACATAGAAGTGTCGAAAATATAGATTTGTATATAAGATTAGTTACTATCTGTATATCCACATATAAAAATATTGTTATATTTATTTCTGGTAAATTTAGTGTAATAGCTCTAAATGTAGAAATGGGAGTATCAAGCCTTTAAAATTTATTGAGAAACTAATTCTATTTCTGAACTAGAGGAATTCTATCATTCAACTTAAAACAAAACAGTATGCAACTAGAGGTCACAAGAAATGTAGAGGTCAGATCTTGGTTAGAATCTCAATAGAAATAAGAATATTTTAAAGAATAAAAAGTTTGATATACATTGTAAAATAACAGATATAAAAATTAAACACGTGACATGGTGATTGTTAACAAAAGATCTATATAGTAATACTACACCACATCAATTTTATATTCAGTTTATTTAACACAATAATGAGGTTGATGAAATTGCATAATCTTGCTCTAAATTTCCCAAGCCAAATATGTTAACAGTAGTGGTAAAATCAAAAGTTTCGTAAAAAGTCATATGCCATCAAAAATATGAAACAAAGGATTACCTTAAACATGTAATTTCACAAAGTGCAAGATAATTTTTTGTACATTAACAGCAGTGGACCAATCATAACCTTATTTAGCACTTATTCTGTATGATGTTATATATGTATTTTACTCTACATAATGTTGGAAAATATATGAAGAGCAAAGAGAACATTGTGTGGCCATCATATAAATAACTATCATCTAAAGTAATAATCATACATAAATACTTAAATATAAATAAAATAAATTAATATAAAAATTAAAGCATAGGTCGTGCATTTCAAGCTTCCAGTAAGGCATTGAAACATTGGCAACATTTGATAAAGTTCATTATAGAACATGCAGTTACATCAATATAATTCTAAATGAGTACATTGACCTCTACAAATAATACTTTGGTAAATTAAATTAAAAGTGAAAACTATATATAACTATACATATAAAGCTAAAACCATATTTACAATCACATTGATAAAGTGAGTAATTTGGAAGAAAAGTGATTTGTAAATGAGCACAAATACATGTTATTTGATTCCATATTCCCTCTACTTCTAAGTTTGATTAGCTCACAATTCCAAATATAATTTTACTTCATTGCCTACTTTACCAGGTAGACTTCTATTATAAATAAACTCCTTAACATCTTGTATATCATATCAAATATAATCTTCTTATATCATATCAATTTTATCCATGTTTACATAGAAATAAAGAATAAAGAAATTAAATCTAAAAATGTGTATTGAATCTTTGAAATAAGATAAGTTGTGAAAGTATTGTTGACAAATTTGTTTCAAAAATGATATTCTAACAAATGTGTACATATATATCTAATATTTAAATTTGACAATTTTCAAACCAATATGAATCAATAATTAGACTTTCTGGCACTAGAAGGTCTGGCGCTAAATCGTGACTGTTTAGGTGAAGATCCAGTAACATGAGCTAAATATGGACTACGGTGATATTGGACTGGTAATGAACTTGCTGAGATAGGTCGTTGATCCACTGATATTCTTGAGTTACTTTTCTTATAAGCTGGTTTATGTCTGATAAATATTCTATCTGAACCACTACTAGTATCATCTCTAGTAGGAGACATGTTCCTTCCACCATGTATTGATAATAATGCTGAGTCATCAAATGCTATTCTCACATTTTTAGCTGTGGAATTTTTTGGTTCATGAGCTAGGAATCCTGCAAAAATAGATTTTGGAATGATAATATTATCATGGTGTATATACTTTAAAAATATAATCTGTTATTATAAATTATAAACAATAGCATGGATATTCATAGTTTATATCCCATATTTTTGCAACACCATAGCCATACTTGATTGTTTGTAAGGGCAAGTAATATATCAGTGGGCCAATAGGGTTGGTTTTAGTTGCAGTGATGATATCAGTAAGCGGTGAGAATTTGTTGTTTTTCTATCAGGGACCAGCTACCATCCATCCAGTACCATTTCAGCAATTACTAACATAAAATGAGGAGATATTTCAAATCATTATTACCTAGCGCCTCTTCATCAATAGACATATTGTTATTACAACAATCACAATTAGATACAGGACAGGGTTGATGTATTACTTCATTCAGGGTATGTTTCATAAAACCATTAAATGATGTATAGTCGTATGCACAGTAACGTCCATGCCAAGCCATGTACCCTGAAAAATAACAGGAAATGTTTATTATGCTCTGTTGACTAAGCCAAATGGGTCATCAAAGAGAACCCTTTTGAAGAAAAAGATGAAATGAAGAAGACTGACGAGGGAGCTGCAGAGAGTCCCAGAAAAATTCTTCCAGGAGTACTTGCAAGAGTGGCAGAGAAGAGTGGGAAAGTACGACTCCATGGAGATTTCTTTCTAGATGGAAACTCAGATTTTGAAGTTTGGATAAGTTGTGATCACTGTAGTACAATAAAATGAGATATGTTGTGATCACTGTAGTACAATAAAATGAGATATGTTGTCATCACTGTAGTACAATAAAATGAGATATGTTGTCATCACTGTAGTACAATAAAATGAGATATGTTGTCATCACTGTAGTACAATAAATGAGATGTTGTCATCAATGTTAAGAGAGATATGTTTGTTGAAACTATAAGTGAATTATCTTGACAGCAGTGTCACTATATAATAAATTAATACACTAACCTTGTGGATGTATAATAAACATAGTAGGTACACCAACAACTCCTAATAATTCTGTTAAATCCATTTGTTTGTCTCTTTCTTCCTCATTGATATCTATATCTCTTCCTACAAAAGTTAATTCATGACTGATTAAACAAAATGTTATTACAGGTCTTAAGATAATAACATCGTTTTAGAGGGGGTAAATTAGGTTTTCAGGATAAATCATTAAATTTTAACATGTCAACAAAATTAAACCGAAAACCTGAATGTTATCAGGCAAAAATATATTAAAAAGCCTTCAAGAGTAATTTTCGAAAAAGTTTGTTGTTTACAATCAGTTTTAAAATCTTCCATCTAAGTATTAAATGCTTCAGAAAACAAATAGTGGACTTACCTGAAGAGTTATAAATGATATCATTTCTAGTTCTACTAGAAGAACATTCACTGGTGACATGCCACACACAATTATCATCTCTCCATCCTTTAGCTGTTAATAGATCAGCTAGGTACTTTCTATTGGTAGCTTGTATACCAGATATACCACATGTTACACCAATAAAACTGGCCTGTAATATATTCATTCTTTATAGTTCAGTCAGTAAAGCCAAGACCACTCAGCAAGGTCGTCCAGGGTCCAGGTTTCAGACGTTGAAAATTTTTCAACCCAGTGTCTTTTAAAAATAGTTTAGTTATCAATCTTTTGATATCATGAAAGCCCTTTCTTACCTCACTGTTTGAAGATTTGGCAAATCTGATAAAATGATCAAATATTTTCTTGGAAGCTTCACACCTGAAATAAAAAGAAAACTAAAACATTCCTTTCTGAAACTGCATGGTTCAATCAAGAAATCTGGGCTGCATAAAAATAATCAAAGTTATACATACATTTATAAAATCTCATGCTCAAGAAACAATATTTGCTGTCAACTCTTGAAAATTAATGATTTTTGCTTTGTGTTATAATTACTTACCAAGGTGTCCAGAACAAGACTACTGTAGGGAACTGTGGTTTATGAGTTGACATGAATGGTTTAAAATCTCCATCAAATATATCTAATATGTTACATACAGGGGGTGGTACATGTTTCTGTAATAAACCCTGATTGGCTAATTTCTTGGCTACCTGTCGTTCATAGGAAGTAGAATCTTCAAATTTACAGCAACCAGGATTGGGCCATCTGAAATATTAAAAAAACAGAATTAAAACTCCTAAATAATGCTATTTTTTCTGCTGCTTCTGTAGATTTTCATCAACAAGGTAGAAAGTAAAGAATTAACAAATTTAAAGTTACAAGGAAGTGCATACATGTACATGAACGTCACATAATGAGAGAGTATTACATTGATGCAACCTATTTTGGGATTATAAGGAAATTTGGCCGATAAAAAATGGTGACGTTTGGTAATAACTGAAATCCGCCATTTTGTATTTGTCAAAGTATACATTAATACATTTTACCTTGCTTGAAACTACTGGATTCATTCTACTAGCTGACATTGTACAGAAAACCAATGTTTATCAAAACTAGCAAATGCAGAGGTCAAGCGAGGTCGCACATGTAAATTATCAATCCTTTCAGGAAATGCACGAAAAATAGGTCAGCACGAAATTAGGTTACTTGACTGTATGATAGGGGTCGAAAACGGACTGGACAGACTCTTAAAAACACTTGTTGTGGCATCCGAATTTTTCATACCTTGAGGGAGATTCAAACCACAGCACCTTGCAGACAACAATCCAACTTACTACTGTGTTCCATCCCAACCTAAGAGGAGAAGTACTTACACAGTTCATAAGTTGTTAAAATCAGTGTAAACTATGGTAACTGTGGTAACCACAAAATGTTTCATACTCACTTGGCTGTTTTGTTATGAATACCATGGTAACAATAGAATGAGAATGGTTTAAATGGTGAGGTGAGTAGTTCTACCATGTTAGATTCATCACTACAACCTTGTGGTTTGTCTGTCATAGCTACCATGGTCAACTTATAACTGGGTTCACTAAGATCCAACTACAATACACAATAGACTTCTCTTGAAATAAGTTAAAAACTGAGAATAAGCGGCAAAACCATTTTTCTTCATAACATCCCAACTTTAATGAGATACAAGATCTTGTCAAAGGCTAGCTGATGTATACAATCAATGAAATTACATTTGTTCCCACAAAAAGAAATGTGGACTTTGAAAAAAGGGTTAATATTTGCTTTTTTTCAACTTACAAAAGAATTTTGGCAATTAAAATATGGTCAATTTCTTTTCCAATTTCAGATGACCTAAATTATTAGTTCAACAAGCAATGTTGTGCAAAGTTAGATATAGAATTTTATTATCGACTAATTCAAACTTTTCACTCAGATATTCTACAACATTGAAGATATGTGCATTACTAAAGTATTAATTTTGGTATGAACAGCACTCCAATAGCATAAAGCAGTTAGCCTTAGCAAGCCTGTATCAATTTTATCTTATGATGCCAGTAATACCTGTATTAACACAGACACACCTGTAAAATGTTAAACCTAAATCTGTATGATCAAAAATATCATTTCTAAATCACAAGCCATGCTAATGGCTTTAAAGGATCAATAGTGAAAAAATCTTAAATTACCAACAAATTTCTGCCAACTAATTAAAAGTCTAGACATGCCAGAAAAGAACTTCCATTTACCTTAACTTTAACTGTTTTAACACCAGCATGTAAGGCGTTTCCATATTGTTTACCATCAATTAGCACTTTATAACCACTAACACACATATCAGGATTAGATTGAGGACATTGCCATGATACATAGGCTATTAACTGTCCTAGAATAATGAATTATTGATAAGAGTAAGTCATACATATATTAAAATTTATGTTGTTAAAACTTTTTTTCAGGACTTTGCAAATAATTTACCAAAACATTAACTGAAACTTTATCTGAAGAACACATGCCTTCATTTCTTGTCAAAACGTAAGACTGCTGACGTAAGATGACAAAGATGATCATATGTTGACTAGCTCTATTAAAATAAAAAGTATGCACTCAAATTTATATAATTAAAAAGAAATAGTACCTATATATTGTTCCAGACCAAGGAAACATTCCTCTAATAATTCTTCTACTCTAGTCAGAGTATGAGCACCGATAATTATATCCTACAAAATATTAAAATTGACTACAATAAGGAAAATTTGATTCCTGTAACTCTACTTAGCTTGTAATCATTAAGATTTGAATATCTGCAGCTGAATAATATATCACATGTACAATAATTGTGTATATCGTAGTAGATCTATTAGCATTTCAAAAGATTCTTAAAAAAAACTTTAATTTGACTAACCTCATCTTTTTCAGCTTTAACAGGATGAGATAAAGCTCCTATACGTTTTAATTTATGTCCTACAGCACGAATTAGTCTATCTCGTTTATTGACTAAATCACAAGTTAATTTTTCTAACTGGCGCCGTTCTTCAAGTCCTACCATAGTTACTGCTATCTGTGGTGCATCAGGAGATAGAGACGGTTGCATTCTAATAGTATCTGATCTTACTACATCACCAGTACCATATAACTATTACAGAAAGACAAGAATAGATAAAAACTATTATAGTCAGGTACATGTGCTCATAAACACAATATAAATCTGACTTGTATAGTTCAATTTTTCTCAGAACAAAAGAATGTAACAAGATATTGGAGCAGATATATGACTTTCAAGTATACATTACAACTGAAAACATAAATACCATCGTAGAGAGAACTTTAAATTGAGGTAGCTTAAGTGGTAATAAACACAACATCACATTTTAAACATTTAACAATAAAAATAATTACATGAGTCTCTAAATAAACTGAATAGCTGCCTTTCTTTAGATGATTAAATTCTGCTTCTCGTGTTTTAGGATGTATTGGACCAACAGATTGGACTAACTTCTCTGTATCCTCTTCTATACAACATAGCTATCAAATATATTCAATAATAAAATATAAGATAAGATAATGTAGTAATAAATTGGTAATTACTATATGGTTCATACTAAAATAGAAGTTCATTATACATAAATTGGCTTTAAATAACCGGTCCAATTCCTTTATTTCTTATTACATTAATCTTTAACCCTTTGAGCATCACTTATAATTTTTTCTGCATGTCAATAAAGGTAAACTTACTTTGAAATGTTTGACTTTAATTCCATCAGTAAGATGAGGATCTTCCCAACCGACACGTAATGTAGAACTACTAACTGATGGAATACGATGGATAGCTGGTGATTTAGCTCCAGGCCAAGTTACTATTAGTTGATCTGACACTCTACTGTTCATTTTCTCATCTGATGTCATAGCCTGTAATATCAGCTCAAGTCAGTTATATTTCTTCCATGACAGTAAAATCTAATTCTTTGAACTATGTTATTTCAATAGGTCCAATACAATCAGTGATTATTTTGATTAAAGTAGTCAATGAGTCAACTGTACCTGAACTTGAAATGAGTACTCATGACACCATCTACCATTAGTAAAAGTATAACTCAGTTGGTCTGCAGCTAAATGTGCTTCAACAATTCCATTAACAAATACTTTATATCCTGCTATTATAGCATCACCATATTCACTAGGTTTCTCCCATTGTATAGCTAAATACCGGAAATTACTTGCTCTGTTAACAACAAAAAAAATATACATAATGGCAAATTTGATAATGATTAGGGAAGAGCATAGGGTGTTTTTTTTTTAAATATGAAAATAAGAAAAACTGTTTTGTTATTTAAGGCATCCATTACCACAATTTGATAATAATGATTTAGTTGGTGGCAACTTTTACAATATCTTTTTGTATCTTTATAGTATCTGATGAAGAATAGAAATACCTGATAGATAATATTGGAGCATCAGGTGGTGCAGACGTCTGAATTGTCATTTGTCTGGATTTCTCCCATATCTGTCCGCCTGAGTCAAAAGCAACGAGTCGTACAAAATGGTTAGTTCCTGGTAAACATTTATTTATTACACAGTTTGTATCTTTTGCAGACAATTGAACTTCTCTTTGCTGTAAATTAATAATGTTAAGGTGTAAGATTTAAAATCAGAAGACAACACAATCAATCAACTACCTCCACTAATAAAAATAATGTGGTACATGTATTACAGGGTATGCCTGCAATTATGATATCACTCTGGGTTTGTCAGGGTTATAGTAACAATACTTTATGGTTGTAGCAAGAATCAACATGCTCTTGGAGAAGCCAGTATTGCTATATTGAACTCAATTTTATAGACAACAAATGAAACAGAACGGAGTTCTACATTTCTTCACCTTATGAAGCACAGTAACGTGGCAAATATTCGCTATGTAACATGGAAATTTACAAGTATTTTAAATCATGAACAGATAATTTGAATTTCCATCATAACATTAACAGTCTGCCTGGAAGCCTGAGAATTACAGCTATTCTCAAGTCTGACTATTAATTTTTAACAAACATAAAGAACCTTACCGTAGGTTGAGCAACAGAGCTCCACTGAACTTTATAATAAGCCACCTCCTCTGAAGGATAATAGGTACTCCAATCTAGATGTATACCAGTATCTAATACCTTAGTAATTTTCACTGGTATATCACTGTCGTCGGTAGTAGAAGCCCAGTCATCAATAGTAACTACATCACCAGTCTGATGTTGATTAGTAGAAGTATTAATTAGTAAGGTATTTGATTTAAGAGAATCACTGTATTGAGAATTAGCACTGAGAGCCACCAAGTTTATTCTGTAGATCCTGTTGAACAAAAAATAATATCATTACTGTTGCATCTGGTTAACAGTATATGTTAATGCTAAAAACATCTCAGAATGCAAAAGACAGTTAAGTACTTCTAACTGTAGTTAAAAGCTTATTCCTTTAATGGAAAGACAAACTTTACAACTTTTTGTGCATTATAGTTTACAAAAATTAACTACTTACCTATTGGGTCGACATGGGATAACAGCTTTTCTATGAGAATTACTGAGTTCTGCACCAACTTTCTTATCGTTCATATACACCTAAAATAAAGTTGGAAAAAGATATATATTGCTATTATGTTTCTATAATAAATCAGATCCATATACAGACATGAAACAAAAGTGACAATCTGCAAAAGATCAAAATATAAACTTAGCTTAACTCAGATTGTGAAACACAACCTATCAGTCATTGCAGTTTCTTGAGCTCTTTAATGCTTGTAAATAAAAAAAAAAAAAAATACCTGATAGCCTTTGACTTTAACACCACCAAAAACTCTAGGTTCACCCCATTCAATGATAAATTCTTCAGTATCTACAGAGCGGAGATAGATATCAGGTGCATCAGGTGGTCCAGGTATCATGATCTGTACATCTTGTATTGTCTGTGATATTACATCAGTATAATATGTTGGTTCTACAGTAAAGTTGTATAAAGTCCTGAAATCATAAAATGGAATAGTAAATACAGTTATATCATGTCTTGAAATCTTAAAATAATACGATGCATGAAAATAATTTTTCAAAAATTAGAGCTTATATATATATAGTAAGAACTATAAACAAACAATCTGACCAACAGATACCTTAACATTGTGTGGACTTATAAATATACATGAGATATCATAGATAAGTTACAGGATATCTTCAAAATTTTGACATAATTCCTTACTTGATCTTGGTGACAGGAATACTACAGTCATGTCTGTCAGATGTGATATATTTAGTCTGTATAATTCTATCTTCTACACAATACCATATAACACGGAACTGTTTTATTAGGTTGGTACGTCCTTGAATCTTCCATTTTAAATGTGCTACGCCTACACCATCACTTTCTTCACTACCTTTATTTTTATATACAGCTTGAAGAGATGATAAGAATCCTGAAATAACAAATACAGAAAGTGATATTGATTTGTCCACATGGCTATCAATTTCTAGTACTCAAGCAGCATTAGCCACTGTTTGAAGAGATGCAGTTAATACATGTGAGGCAAATCATAATTAAACTTGATAACTTACACTTTGTCCTTACCAACTTGTGAAGAAAGAAAATGTCGAAGAACTGAATTAAAACCTATGTAATCTATTTCAATTTATCCCAAGGGGAATTTGGACAATGTCTTGTTACCTTCTTGATCTCTAGGTAAACAGATTTCTAATGGTTCTGATGGTGATTCATCTAAATTTTCATCATCATTTAATATAGCAGCATAGTCAATATCTTGTGGATCAACATTCTTAAAGAATCCTTTCAACTGAAATGAAAAATAAAACAGATTTAAATGAGCTATCCTTACATATGGAATTGTTCATGAAGAAAGAATAAACGGTATTGAAAAGGATTTGCAGCATCAAATAATTGATTTTTAATTGAAAAGTTAAATTGTCTCAGTAAAATGACAAGAAAGACATCAAGATATTCATATGAAAACAATCATTCTGAAAATAAAAGCTTCATATATACACATCAATAAACCTCAGCTTTGTAAAGCTCAATGTTCAAATATGAAACAATTAAATACCTTCTGTTTTCTGGTCTTCTTAGATTCCTCTGTACAAGTGACAGCTACCAACACCACACTGTAAGCTTTACCAGGTTTACATTTAGTCAGGGTACAGGTTTGAGCTGATGGTCCAAGATAGCATTGTAATTTACCATTAATCTCTAATTTATAACCTTCTAAGTAACGTCGAAGGTACTTTGGTTTTCCTTCATCATCCTTTCCAATAACAGATAACAATGGAGGTTTCTCCCAGTAGAGGTAACCTTGATTTTTATCAAAGGAGGTCAGGAGTAAACGAGGAGGTTCTATTGGAGCTCGAGTTCTAGCTAGAAGTGGTTTAGACATGACATGAGCAGTTCTTCTATACTGTTCAATACCTGATCCACTTTTCTCTCTTTCCAATGAAGTTTTAATGCTAACAACAGCCTCCACAACTATCTTGTATTGAGCTCCTGGACATAGATCATCAAGTTTAATCCTATCTTCTGTAGGCAAGACACTGACATGATTGGCTATAATCATACCATGTTCACCTTTGTTTCTCTTGACATCAGACCAACGAATAATCTGTCCTAGTAGTTTATTGGAACCATATATTATAGGTGGAGTCCATGTCAAGGTCAATGAAGTCCTTGATGATTCAGTGATCTTCAAATTAGCAGGAGCTTCAGTACCTGCTGTCTTAGCCAAGATACTTGAACTGGGCAACCAGACTGAGTCTTCAGTAGATACCAGGACATCTCTAGGTAGTGTTCTGGATTTCTTTAAAGGATGTTTATCAGGTAGTCTGTCAAAGTATTCATCAGTAACAGCAATAACACGAACATTGTAGTCTTTCTTTTCATGAAGAGTATTAATATCTGTACATTTTGTATCTGGCATTAGGTCTACTGTGACAAAATGTTGATCTTGTTCATCAGCAGCAACACACTCAATACGAATTCCTAGGAAATTCAAAATTATAATCATTAAGTCATTACAATATCAAAATATTTTCACTTCAAAAATAGTGCTCGATACATTATTTGAACAGCGATATAGAAAGATTGAACTACAACCTCAAACATCTTGTTACATGGCCTTACACTGGAAATCTTACGATAATAATTCGGTAAATATGGACTTCTATTTTAAAATGAGAAAATTTGGTCATAAAATTATTTAAGAAACAAGTGTCAGATCAGGTAAGTAATTTGCGTTTGATTAAAAATACCAACCTATAACTTCAGCACCATGTTCCTCTGGCGGATCCCATATAACTTGTAGACTATTACAAGTTGTAGCTTTAACACCTAGATTACGAGGTGGGTTAGGAGGACTGGCTGTTGTCAAGGAGATATGTTTAGATTTGGCTGTTAATATAAATGAATTGAGTCCATCTGATGTCTCTCTATCATCTGAAAATAACAGATTTTAAGTACAGTCAAGTAACCTAATTTCGTGGAAACCTATTATTCGTGGATTTCCGGAAACGATTAATAATTTACATGAGCGACCTTGCGCGACCTCCGCATTAGTTTGTTTTGATAAACATGGGTTTTCTCTACAATATCAGCTAGTAGTATTGAATCCAGTAGTTTCAAGCAATGTAAAATGTACTAATGTATACTTTGACAAATACAAAATGGCAGATTTCACTTATTACCAAACGTCACCATTTTTTGTCGGCCGAATTTCCTTATAATCCCAAGCGGTAATCGGAATTCCAAGTGTCGTCTGCTAGAATGTAGTCCAACGAATAAAGTCACGTGATCAACTAGCGGATTCCGTGTCAGCAGAAAATTTCTATGGAACACAAAGAGGACCATATTCTTATGTTGTTTCAGTGACTTTTAGCAATAAATCACGCTACGTATCTTATTTTGTCAGTCACTATTTTTTTTTTAAATCCTGGTTCTTTGAAGGAATTGTCACTAGTTATAATGAATTGATATTAAAGATAAATACTAAGAGAAGTTAATTATATCACCCAGTATCCATATAATGTGTTTTTCTAGACTTATTTATAGTTCAAACATTGTACACGAAAATAGGCGACGCATTCTGCCGCCGTTGCCGAGTTGGTTGCTCATGAAATATGGGTCAAAGTGAAGAATTCATAAAGAAAATCGAAACAAACCAATTTTAATTATTTTTGTAGAATATCTGAGGAAACATCTAAGACATAAAAAAAAAATTTAGTTTTTTTTAACTTTGATGAAATTCGGTGTTGAATCCTTATATCCACGAAAATAGGTTACACCACTGTATAATAAATTGGATTCTACTACTTGTCAGATATTCACTTAAATCAGAAATTTCTTTCCTTGGACTAATATATATCTAGTAAAGAATTTCACAGTAAAATGAAATAGAGTATAATTCCAAGACCTGTTGCAAAGTCTTCAATGGTATTGTTATTTTTCATTAATCTAATCAAGAGCAAAATACAAGTTTAATGTATAGCTACTTTTAAATTCTATAAAGAAACAGAAGCATCCTAAAGCCTTCAGCCAATCGGTTACTTACATAAAGATTCATCAATATCAGTGTATTTCTCCATCTTCCTAGCTTCTACCACTATTGTATAACAAGTACTGGGTTTTAAATTAGTTATTATTAGATGATCATCTGCAATAAAACACAAGTATTATATTAAAAATCATGACAGCATTCTGTAAAACAAAAACAACTATTTGTGACAAAACTTAAAAAATATCTTCATTGGCCATATTGTAATGTCTGATTTCAAATTGAATCGTTTTTTAACACAACCTTATAAATATATTAACCATTTCCATTTTATTGTAAGGTCTATGATTTGAAATCATTTATGTCATGATAAACTTAAGGAATTCTTATGTATGTCTCCTCTTTCTAAGGGGCAGTATACTTGTTACTCAAACTCTGGTCAATCAACACTAAATCTCATCAGTGGAACTCAGTATAATGAAGTTACTTTACCTGAAGTACTGTCACTGTTAATATCATCTTGTGGTTTACTACCAGGCCACCATGTTACTTGGTAATTCTCAGCTCCAACAAAGTGAGGTTTACTGCCATTTTCTATAACAATCAATATAAGGTTAGGTAAACTATATGATTTAAAACTTGCATATTACTATAGTTATCTGCAGACTGTAACATTCACTGAAAATTTGCCAGCACTGATGTACTTAAATGCATCTGACTTGATTAGAATATATCTATGAAATTACTTGTTATTTGTGTATTTGCTTAACAAGTTGATTGAACTCAACTTCAGCTATCCATAGTTCTATGCAGAAATAAAATCCAACATACAGTTCCTCTGCAATTTGACGAAAGTTAATCATTGATGGTGAGACTGATGTCACCAAAATTTACATGATAATATGTATAAATGACCATTGATATTGGTAATATCTGTATTAGAGAATGAGAATAAAGTTCTGAAAGAGACCAGAACCTAAACTTTCTTAATTTGTTGTAGTTCACTATTTAAAGTTTAAGTTTGTTAAAGTTTAGTTCAGTTGCTAACTCAAATACTGAGATGAACTTATTCCTTTCTAGATATAGAATTACCTTTATTCCATACAATCAAAGCTGAGTGACCTGTGACCTTTTCACATCGCACTTCAGTTGGAGCTTGTACTAGGCCAGTATAATGTATGGATAATTTGGGGCCTGGTTTACATCCTGAATATCTTTCACCCATAAATATATCTACAATAGATGGTAAGTTATCAATGATAAACACACTGATTCAGTTCTGGCATAAAAAAATTCATCTTGACTCTTGGACAAAACTAAATGTGATAAGATAATGACATAGCCTGCAGGATTTCATTTTCAAGGAATCAAGTCCACTGTTATCAAAAGATATGCCAGTTTGGTACTTATTTTGAAGAGTGAGAATTTTATGCCTAGTACCAACCTCGTTTATCATCAGGTATAGTAGAACCACCTAGTCCAGAATCTTTATCACCAGCTAGACTACCATCAGTTTTACCCACTGGATGTTCTGTTAGAGCTATTAGTTGTAGATTAACCTTCTCTCCTAATGACATGTCTTTAATCTTCAAACTATTTACATCAGGGGGAATAACTGCACCATATAATTTATTGTCTTTCAACATTTGATAACCCTACAATCATACAAGTCACAAGTCTTGAAATTTGTTTAGAAAATAGTTATAGAGATGTTTTAAAACAAAGAAATACCACAAAACAAAGAATCAAAATGATATAAATATAAGTATGTCCTAATCATTGTCAATTTTTTATTCCTTATTCTAGTACACTAAGTTTTAAATGGATACTAATGATCTTTTAAAGAGTTTTGGCCATGGACCAGCTGGTAGAACTTAATCTTATTATCCTTTTAAATTATGTTTCGTTTCTGTCTTTCTTTTGAATGAAATGATGATCTAATAAAACTTACTGATATAGAAGCATCACCAAACTGTTGAGGAACTTGCCAAGTTACATCTATACCATCTGGATGTAAACCTTCTAGTCTGAGAGTAGGAGATTTAGGGGCTGCTGGAGCTCGTACAGTCACAATATTAGACATTGGACTATCACTTAAACAATAGACATGCTGTGTTTCTTTATCAACATCTCTCTGACCACAAACAGACTAAAAAAAACATAATTCAAATATATCAATTACTATCGATTTTACCAAATAACTTAGTGGATTAGATATGTTTATGTATTGAATCATAACCTAGATGTGCATCTTGTGTTGTATTAATATTTCCGAATGCCTGACATTGCATATTTCAAGATTACCACATTTGATTTAAGGGACTAAATTTCTGTCTGTGTTACCTATTGAGAATTGTTAAAACAAATTTACCTTAACTGAGACATCATAACATTGTTCTGGAGATAAATCAGTAAGAAAGAATTGATAACCCTGTTTATCACTGATTTTATTAGCTTTAACTTCACCATGCCATATTCCATCAATATATACACTGAAAATAACAAATATCATTTTGATATGAAAACACATACAAATTCGAGACAGAATTTTCTGACATTGCAATTCTCCAGACTGAAATTGATATTTTCAAAATTTATTAAGTTAAAACCAGGCTTTGGTAATTCATAAACATCAACATCTATAGGACCAACACTTACAAAAGTTCTTTAAACACTTAGTCTGTTCTTGATATGTATGATTGAAATATGTAACCACTTCATCTACTGGCTTGGTGCCTGTGATAAAATAGTTGAAGACACTATTTCTATAACCTGTACATACCAATAGGCTGATATCTGTTCAATATTAGAAGAAGTTGATTCTTTAGGTTTATCCCAGGCTATAAGTACACAGCCTTGTTTAAATGATGGTTGTTGTGTGATTGTTGGTGATGGAGGTCGTCTGGGACAAGACAGGTAAATAGTTTTAGAAGGATCACTCTCTTGACTAGCTCTAGATGTTACAGCTATTACATGGACTGATATAGTTTTACCTACATGTAAAAAAATGAAATGAAACTATATTACAAACCACAAAAAATAATTAATACCCAAAAATTATATTGAAAAGATTTGGTATGAATAAACACAGTAATTCTGTTTTCAATTGAAATTTGTTGATTATTCAAATTGGTTTAATCATTGGATTCTGCTCATACTTATCAATTAAAGAAAAGAAACCTTTACAAGGATAACTCAAGGTTGCCTGGCATTATTAAAATTGTTGACTGGAAAAATGATAAGAATACTTGTTGATGACAGAGATCAGAGAAATACATGTATACTTTTCTAAGGTATCAAGATTTTCCAAATTTAGTCGTAGGATCAGCATTTCTATAAATATCTATAAATCATTTTACCTGGTATCATATTATTTATCACCATCTGTCTTACATCACTGTTTCTAACATCACCTAATGGTTTATTATCAACATACAACTGATAACCTTTTATTTTAACACCTGGATGTACAATACTTGGTGGATCCCATTCCATAGTTGCCTACATCAAAGAATTAAAATCGAATCAATCATATACAACTTGTAGGCCTACATCATATATGTAATACCATATTAAAAATCAGTATATTCTGAAAGCAATATTACTTTTTCCGATCATTAAATACTTTTCCTGCAATACCCTCACGAAGTATTGAACCAAATTTGCCTTTTCCATTTTGACATTCTTCAGATATAATATGGAAAGACTTCCAGTAGTAAGCCCGTTATGAAGGCAATAAATGAATGTTTACAGCCTACAGTAAAATTACAAAACGATTTTATATTATTTTTAGTAAAAGTAGGGCTACCGTAAAATTTATTGTAAAAGCAAAAGTAGAATCTACCGGATGTTGTTATAAAAAGTGTGTCACGTGTGCTTAAAATACACATTATCGGGTGAAAATATATTAAATTATCATCTTAATTGGGGAAATAAAATTGGGGTATCCCGCCGGTAGAGAGGTAGACAACATGCAAAAGCGGTAGAAAACCGACAACATCGGTAGATTACACATGTATGTATACAAGCAGTTCTCAAGATGTCAAATCAAGTTATACAACCTTTTGCTAAGATGTCATTAACACATAGGTACTTTTATATCATTAGCATTGCAATAGTGACATCATAAACTCTTAATTTTGGTCGATGCAAGAACCACAGACAAAAAAATTAAAATGGTGCAAATCAATACTCTCATGGTTCCCAATACACTTAAAAAGTTTACAAAACCTCTTTACAATCTCTTTAACTATATTTACTGTTTTATACTGTAATGTTCTTACCTGGTAGAAATCTACACTTTTAACAAGAGTAGTAGGAGGTTTAGGTGGTCCCATGGTAGTATAATATAATACTGATGATGTTGTTTGAATTTCACAAGCTTCATCACCATGTAGATGGGTATAGTTGGCAATAACATAAATCCTACAAAATAACATTTAACAATAGAAACAGAAATTAATGATAACAAATATTTGGAAAAAAAAAATCATTATCCGTCCAACCACATTATTTTGTGCTATTTCTAACCTATGACCTATGTGAACATATGATATTATATATGATAAACAATACCTGTAAGTAAGACTTGGTAATAATCCTTTAATATTACATTTTTCTTCTCCTTGTACATTCCAACAATGTTGAACACCTCGTACTTGTTCTCCTTTTTCTACAAGATTACACTCAAAACTGAAAATACAGACCAACAGCTTTAGATATACTTGAAAATAAACATGGTGAATATGTTTCCCCATGGCTTCACAAATCCAATCAGACTTATTATGACATAACAGAATAATGATAATAAAACATAATATGGTCTGAATGTGTGCTTGGATTGCCACATTATAATATCAAGATCTACAATCATTTTGTATTAATTTACCCATAACAGTTATTACCCTAATGGGTAGTATATTTATAAGTACTCTCAACCCATGATCAATAATAGAATAATAGAATCTACGCCTACCTGATGTCACTATTGATGTCTTTAGAGAATTTATAACCAACAACATTAACACAATATAATATTAATTTATAATTGGGATCAGGACTTTCTGGTAGTTCCCATACAACTCGAACACCTCTTTTACCACGAGATTCTACCATTATAGATGGTGCTGGTAAAATACCATCTCCATCTCCCAATATAAACTGGAAAAAAAAATTAAATTAAGTGATAGAGAACCTCTAAGAACTAACAAAACCTCCAATACTTCAAAGATGTGGAAAAACTCTTCTTATAGCTGCTTTTGCACACAAAATTTGAAAGTTCACAATTATTGAAAATTGTAAACACATCTTGACTAATAATAATTGTTCATGTTGACCATATGAAATGACCTTTTCTAAAAACCGAAACCAACCATAAAGAACTGGATAAAAAGCTACAGAAAGTAAAACATTTACCTCGCCTTCACCAACTGGTAACATATTAGCACTAGAAGAGACTGGTACAGCTAATCTTTTCTGTTCTGTAATTTCTTGATTATTATCACCAAAACGACTATCTTGTACATCCAATTCTACTGTTTGCTGTACTTCCACAATAGCTGTAGTTCTACCAGATTTTCTCTTACCATGTCTTCTCTGATGTTCATTACCCTGTCTTCCTCCATCAGCATAGTCTTCATCATCATCATCATCAACATCCACATAACTTGCTTTACGTGGTGAGAAATGTTTCCTCTTACGTTTCGGTTTGTCTTTTCGTCTTCTATGTTTCTTTTTGGATTTGGAATGTACAGTGTCATGTGTTCTGTTACTGGCAGCATCAAGGATCACAATATTCTGTTCAAGATTATTGTCATCATCTGAAGCTACATCTGAATCTTCAGTCTCAGTTTCAGATTCACTCTCCATAGAATCAATATGGAATGTATTTCCTGGGCGTTTTTTACCTCCCTTTTCATCACTCTTCCCTTGTAAATATTGATCTTCTGTGAATGTACTTTGATCTGAAATCATATGTACACTTTGATGAATACACTTTCTAAGGATGAATTCATATTTCTATTTTAAATTTACAAATAATAAGATAGAAATTCATAAATAATCTTTGACTATAGAAGAAGCACAAGCATGACTGAACATAAACACTCTTTCACAATAGGAAATATGTAAACAAATGATATATAGGATGGATTATCTGGTCTTTACACTTCTAAACACTTCCAAAGATGAAACTAAACTAAAATCAGAGGACACTAAAGGAAACTACATGTAGCAAAACATTGATCATTACCATCATACCGTCTAGCCACAAAAACTTGTTTTTGGTCACCAATAACATCCTTTTAAGTTATCATAATTCTGACCTTTCATCATAACACTTTCCATTCATCATAATAATACAACAAAAGACTTGGTTCCAGAATTGACCAATGAGCTAAAACGATGATTCTAATAAAGACACATGCTTAACATACCTTCTGGTGGCATTTGCTGATAACATTCCAAATAGCGGTCAAGCATACCGCCATATTCTTTAGGTGGCAAAACTTTTCTATCATAGTAATTTAACTGTGGAGGATAAATACCAATTTCATCCTTATATGGGAAATTATCTTTTATTATTTTTTGGGTATGCTCTGGTTTTCTGCCATACAAAGAATCATAATGATATATTTCTGAATCTGTTTGTTCCAAATCATGATGCATTCTCCTTCTTGGTGTGTCATAATCCACTTCTAATTGTCTTTCATACAAATCATGGAAATAGTTGCCTGTTTTACCATGACGACCAGGTCCTCTACTTTGTTCACCAAATTGGCCAGAGTCTTCAGCACGTTCTACTACTCTATAGGATCTATCTGTGGAATCATCAAATTCTGAATCAAAGGAGACCTCTTCAATATCATCTTGATAATAATCAAATGATGTTCTGTTATGAGATGTATGTTTTCTTGGATCATGCTGATGATATCTCCTTTCGTCTTCTGATCGAACATTTCTCATCTTGGCAAACCCTTCTCGTGATCTTTGGGCATATTCTGAAGGATTATGAGAATGTTGTCTTGGTAACTCAAATCTGGTTTCTGAGTAATCAGAGTGGGACTGAGACATCTGTCGTGGCATGTTCAATCCTCGATCAGAACTGTCTGAATAGCCTTGTGAGCTTTGACGCGGTAACTGAAGTCTTCTGTCAGACTGATAACCTTGGGAGTGTTGCCGTGGTAACTGTAATCTAGTTTCAGAGTGATCAGATCTTGATTGTGAGTTTTGTCTTGGCATCAGATGTCTTGTTTCAGTTTCTGATCGACTGAAGGAATTTTGTTTTGGTAATTCAAATTTTGTTTCTGTGTATGAAGGGTTCTTTTGAACTTCTGGTGTAGGTTGTTGTTGTGATGGTTTTACAACTCGAGATAACTGTTGCTTGACATTTACAAATCTTTTTAGTTTATTCAGGGGCAATCTTTTTGATGGCTTTACTTTGACTTCCTCCTCGGGTTCAGGATCTAATTCAGGAATGTTCTTTCCAACTTCAACATGACCATGAAGTTGTACTGTTTTGTGAAAAACGTTCTTTAGTACTCCCCAATTTAGTGGCAGCTTCTTGGGACCCTTCTTGAACACTTGCAAACGTTTTTGAGCTCTAATAAAGTTCATCATAAATTTGGCTACAGCATAAAATGATTTCTGTGATTGTCTAGGGGCAGTGAAATTTCTTTTGAGATCATCTTCTATGAAGAATTCTTGTCGACTTTGATCAATATTATTTGATTTTTTCTCTAGAAATGCTTTGGAGTAGGTATCCATAGAAGCATATGTCTTCATAGATCTTTTTTTCTCTGATAATGGCTCAATACCTAGAATCAAAAAGTTTCCTTGAAAACTGCATCCATATATTAGATGCATATATAGTAGACTTCTGTTATTCATATTTTCATACATTTATACAATGATCAGATTAATCCATACATTCAATGTGTACATGCTCAAAAGTGTTCTGTGTGTTCATGCTTATTTATATATTCATGCTGATTCAATTACACAATGTATCTGTTTCTTTGTAACATTAACCTCTTCTTATACAATAATGTGGTCATGCTGATTCAGATCTTTGATGTGTTCATGCTGATTCAGGTCTTCACTGTGTTCATGCTGATTCAGATCTTTGATGTGTTCAAACTGAATCAAATCTTCAATGTGTTCATGCTGATTCAGATCTTTGATGTGTTAATGCTGATTCAGATTTTCAATGTGTTCAATCTGATTAAGATCTTTGATGTGTTCAAGCCGATTCAGATCTTCAATGTGTTCAAGCTGATTCAGATCTGATCTGGATCTTCACCTGCATATACAATATACTATATATGTATATATGTGTGTGTTTATGGTTTAATAGTTTACATGCAATCATTGCGATGAAATCATCTCCTGAATATGAGATGTGATGTCAGAATGTATATTATGTCATTGTATAAAACATAGATAAAATACAGTTTGTTGTGAATGTAGCAGTGGTTTATATCCAAGCCGTAAATGATTCAACCTAAACAACAATAAACTGTTTACATGCTCATGCTATTTTCCCATATTCCATATTAAAGAGAGAAACTTTCGGCAAATCTCACAAACCTGAACAAGCCAACAACTAAACTGAATATACCTGTATGTGATTTGTATCTTAAATACATATAAATGACAACTAACAAACACAAACAAAAAACCTAAACAATATACATGCTTCCACAACATTTAACATGCAGTTAAAATTAATATTATCACAGGAATCATTTAGAATAAGTTATAAGTTGAAAAATTACAGCCAAAATGCTATTTATCATAATAAAAATCAACAGTTCCAATTTCAACCATCCACAAACTTCTTACAAATGTTAAGTATTGCGATTTAAAAAAATCTAATAAACTGTAGGACTGCCGTAACTGGAAGATAGGTAGAAATGCCATATTGTTCCAAATTCAGCAACTGGTCCAGAAAGATCATCCTAAGAAGGAATATTTGGAAGATTGTATAATTCTTACCTTTTGAGTAATTCATATCAATAACTTCTTCTTTTGTATTCTTCTCATCTAAAAAGAAATGGAGATTCGTTGTTTATTGGTCTAAACAATGTGTATGCAGAATAGCAGATTAAAAATCAAGTTGATGGACCAAAAATACTTGAAACTGTTTTGATAGAACAATGATGGAATAAAGACTTAAAATAAAAAAACTTACCATCCATTTGTGGTAAATAGCCAGAACCTTCATGTATTTCAACATATTCACAATATATCTCTTCATCATTATCTCTCTCATTCTGTGGTGGTAAGGTAATACCACTTGTATCTAGAGGTAGCTGCATTTCAATAACATTAGACATCTTAGTTTCACCAGTACCTACAAATCAACATGTATATCCAAATGTCAATTTTTAGACTTTTTGGTAATAGATCCAATGAGATGGACATATAGATTTGTTTTTTTTACAGCTCTTGAATGATGTCTTTTTTTATGAAAACATTGAAATGGCTCAATGAAAGAGATAACATTTATCTATGACCAACTTATGCTGGTCCTTGAATCAATTAAAATTTCTTTTGAGTAATAATGCTATCTTTCTGAATTAATTTTCCTCTCATAACTCAGTATTAAAATAACAATTATTAGCATAGGCCTACCTGATACTATAGCATCAACAAATATTTTATATGGTATATCATAGGAACAACTACCAATTATAACTTTACATCTATTACTGTTAGGATCTGGTACTAACTACAAAACATAAATTCAACTCTTTAATTAGAATCTAAATTTACAGACATGATGGCCATCACACATAGATAACATACTGGGACATTTTCATTATACCTACAAATTATTCAAACAATATCATGTACAGTGAGGTAAATTTGTGTTTATTCATTTAAGCTGGAGAGGAACCAACCAAGACATCATGCACATCATTTGAGTATATTTAGAACTTAGGTGATCACATGTTAGTAAATTAATAAATACCTTAGGCCCACACTGTTGATCATTAATATATACACTATAACCTTCTATTTGACAATCTGGACTATCTATAGCCATCCACACGATAGATATGGAGTCCTTTTTATCAGGTATTTCTAATGATATTACCGGTCCGCCTTCGTTTGTTTTGATAGGACATCGTAAATTCTGTTTAAGAAACCAGATAAAATGATATCAAGTATTGAGTGAAATAATAAACATCTTAGTTTGTCAAGGATCCTGTCTACTCAATAGTTTTTGACCAAATATTTTGGCTTCTTTTCTGGATTATTTGTTCAATCCAACTAGAAAAAAAGATTTTCTCAGCAAATCAAGATTGCAACTCATGTTCACCATTTTTCTAGCTTTAAAAGCAAAGGACATGACAAAATTCCAATGACAGGATATATCTTATCATAAAATATTAGTTATAGTCAAACAAGACTGGCAAATTTACCTAAATACTACCTTTTAACATACAAAAAATGATAAAATCAACTTACCAAGACATTAGATTTGAGAGGTCTATTATTGGTTTTAGAATAAACCTCCACAAATATCTGATAAAATCTATTTCCTGCAAGACCTGTTATATTCAGACTATTATTGTGGGCAGGAAACAAGGGACAATAACTCACGCCATTTAGCAACACCTGCAATATAACAAAATTAAATCATGCCATATCAGTAACTCATCTAAACTTTTATTGAGTGCCTGCAAACATCAGAAAAAACTGATACCAGTTCAAATTTAGGAACATTTAGAAGTTCCGTCAGAACAGCAGTAATTAAACAGTACTAGCAATTAGTTGTACTTGTAAGAATGTCTATCATTTAATAACTTACACTATATCCTTTAATCAAATGTCTATTGGCTTCTGCTGCTTGTTCCCAAAATAATTCCATTTCACCAGGTCCAGTAAAACATCCTTTAATTTGTGGAGCACAGTTTAACCAATCCCAGTCACTGCTGTTTGACTGAAATAAAAGTAGGAAATAATTAAGAAATAGCAAAATTTTGTATGTCAAATTGATTACTATTCTCAACCTTTCAAATAAAGATTATGTATATTATAATTACTAAGAAATACTCTAGAAATACAATACCTTAGCAGAGTTCTGTATATTTTCATTGACAACTTCTACCTCTACATCTGATTCATTATCATCATCATCATTATCATGTGATTGAACTGTAAAACGACTGGAAGGAAAAGTAATTGAGTTAAAAGGTTTTTAAGGCACAATCTTAACCTAATTCAGCTAATTCAAACTTGAACATACAGATTAGCATCCAAGCATCAAACTTACTGCTGATGATTTTCCAGTTTAATATCCATAAACACACTCAATACTTTTGAAATGTACCAAAGTGTATTCTATTTTTCAACATTATCAAGAAGAAATTGTCATACATACTTTGAAGTAAAGGTGTGGCTAACCATACAACTTTCAGCAACAGATATAGCTCTTATAAAACAATATCCTTTACGGCTTAATATTACACCATTTTTCTTGTCATATTTCTGGAATGAAAACAATATAATTATAACTTCTTTTGAAGTTAAAATAAATTTCGAGATGTCTAATCAGTAAGTTACAGACAAGTGATATCAACCCTACAGAGTCTCATAAGCTACAACCCTTTGTATATAACACACCAAGGACAATAACTCGAACGAAGCTGGGTTGTGAACTATCAGTAGTATAATATATATCTGATATCAAGGACAATAACTCTAGGTTGACTTACCTTAGTTTTAGATGAAGCTAGACTAGGTGGTGAACTATCAGTAGTATAATATATATCTGATATCACGGACAATAACTCTAGGTTGACTTACTTTAGTTTTAGATGAAGCTAGACTGGGTGGTGAACTATCAGTAGTATAATATATATCCTATATCACGGACAATAACTCTAGGTTGACTTACCTTAGTTTTAGATGAAGCTAGACTGGGTGGTGAGCTATCAGTAGTATAATATATATCTGATATCACGGACAATAACTCTAGGTTGACTTACCTTAGTTTTAGATGAAGCTAGACTGGGTGGTGAACTATCAGTAGTGTAATATATATCTGATATCACGGACAATAACTCTAGGTTGACTTACCTTAGTTTTAGATGAAGCTAGACTGGGTGGTGAACTATCAGTAGTGTAATATATATCTGATATCACGGACAATAACTCTAGGTTGACTTACCTTAGTTTTAGATGAAGCTAGACTGGGTGGTGAACTATCAGTAGTGTAATATATATCTGATTCTGGGGTATCACAGTATAGCTCTACACAGTGATTCTTATCAACTATTCCACCATTTCCCTCCACTATCATTGGCTGACTTGATCTGTTAGCTAAACACAATTCAATATCATATAAGAGTATAAATAATATAAAAGAGCAAAAATTTTATGGAGTGCATATACAATACTGCATCTTAGTTGGCACAAACAGATAATGCCATGCAGTGTACAAGGACAACATTTATAGTAGCCTACATCTGCGACAATTCCTCAACTCTTATATAATATTCAGGCATTTGCATTTATACACATAACAAAAAATATGCAAAAGAATATTTGAAAATCCTGGTACTTACCATGACTTTTGATGTAAATATTACAAGAATAACCAGGAGCTCCTTGTGAAGCAACAGTATAAACACCTTCATCATCAAATGTGTAGAGAAAACTATTATTACGTAATAATTTACCACTGTTAAAGGATTTTATTCCTTCAATTACATTTAATGGTTGCTGAAATTGACAAACAATTCTATTTTTATAAGGAATTGTCTTCATTTCTGATTGAAGGAATCAATCTCTATTTTGATCTTGAGTTATATACCAATTGATTCTTCATCCATTATGGAATATGAGCAGATAGATAAGACATGAGAACCATCAATACAAATCAACATGATATATCAAATCTAAGAAATACTTACATCTGAATTGGGTGAATTAACATGTATTATATTATGTTCTTCATTTGTTCCTTTCCAATTCCATAAAACAGAATGACCCTAAAATAGTTTTATTATAAACTGGTCAAAAATAATTATACAAAATACAGAAACATATCATATTATGGCAATGAAAGTACATGTAATGTATATATACCTTGGAGACAGTGCTTCAAGAATGACATGTGTTCATATCGAGTCCCTGCCATCATTGGCATCACACAAAGCTTTCTCCTTGGGCAATAGAAGGATAAAGTGCAGCCTGTAATAAGGGTAGAGGTATCTTTACCTTGCTAAGATAAACTTTGGTAGGATGGAAACCATGTTTATCTACTCTTACAACAGCATTATCATTTCTTTCATCACAAATAACACTACTTGATATTTTCTCTTCTTTACTCTAAAATATAACATGATATATAGCATTATCATTTCTTTCATCACAAATAACACTACTTGATATTTTCTCTTCTTTACTCTAAAATATAACATGATATATAGCATTATCATTTCTTTCAATACATTATATATAATGATTTACCTGAGCTGCTCAAAGGAAGTATCATAATATTATGGAAATTAGAGATCTAAATAGATAAACAATACTTACTGCTAATTTACCATAATGAAATGATAAACTATTATAATGGCTGATACCACAAGTTGTAACAGCTAAACCATGACATCGCCTACAAAATACAACAATTTGAACAGCTAAAATACATCATGATGACATTTGGATGTTTTGAGATTAGAAAATGAGCTTTAATGTATATAATAACAACATTCAATTTGGTTTCTTTGCCACAAAGGCTACAATACAAGTGATCTGACCTTCTGACATCATCACTTAAGACAATATATTTGCCAGGTTTCCGATTAAAATTATTGAGTAAAATATTACCTAGGAGAAAATAAGGAACCATGAAGAGATTCATTCGACTTAACATCAAGTATAGCATGTTTTTGAGGCTGTCGGAACACCCAGCAAACTATATCATTTAGTTGTATAGTAATAGGGTCTGGTATTAATTCTTTTACATTGACTTTAACTTCATGTACCTGAAAAAAACAATGCAAATTAGATGTAATTAAAATAGTTGGGCATAGTTAATTAGTTTGAAGGCATATAAGGGTGGTAGAAGTATTAAGTTACTAACTGTTGGATACTTACTTGTGGTTGTGAAGAAACTACAACTGCTCCAAATAATTTGGGTAAATTAGCACTGAAATAGAGAATAACACATTTTATCATACATGTGTACAGGTCAGGAAAAAAAATCTGGAGATTTGCCTTGAAAAATCTGGAGATTGGGTGAAAAGTCGGGAGATTTTTCCAAAGCGTGTAAATTCGTGATTTGAAACTCCAAATTGATTGTTTTTTTTCTTCTTTTTTTTTCAAATAAGCTTTAAGCCTTGTAAATTAATTAAACTGATCATAGGCCTACATGACACAGTTAAAATTAACAATCTATAATTATGGATAATTCTAGAAATAATGCCTGATATTTTAAATTTAGGGGCCCGAAAAAAATTTGATATTATCATTCTTCAGTATTGATTGAATCAAAAATAATGTCAAGGTGAAATGTTTGAAAACAAGAAATCAAGCATGATCCCAGCCTTCTAAATTAAATGGTACCGGTAGGCCTACATGTAATACCATATTAAAAATCAGTATGTTCTGAAAGCAATATTTAGTAAATAATATGTACTGGCAATGTTACTTTTTCCAAAAGTGTAATTCATAACATCTTAAATATCTCAAGTGCGATCATTAAATACTTTTCCTGCAACACTCTCACGAAGTATTGAACTGAATTTTCCGCTTCCATTTTGACGTTCTTCAGAATGGAAAGACTTGTAATAAGTAAGCCTGTTATGCAGGCAATATAATGAATGTTTACAGGCTACAGTAAAATTACAAAACAATTTTATGAAACGAAGTTTGAGTTTACATAAGAATTAGACATCCAGTCGCGTATGATAATCTACCGATAATGAAAATTAATTCTGAAACGATGTCTATGTTATATTGGCCTATTATAGACCTCGCAGATTGACACTGACGGTATAAAATACTGAGAAGACTTCAAGATTTCGTTTTTTATTAAAAGTAGGGCTACCGTAAAATTTATTATAAAAGCGAAAGTAGAATCTACCGGATGTTGTTATAAAAAGTGTCATGTGGGCTTAAAATACACATTATCGGGTGAAAATAGATCAAATTACAATCTTAATTTGGGGATTAATTAATCAGGCAATGATAATATTATTACGTGATGAGATTAACGCGTGTTACCGGCAATTAAGATGCAAGTGATGATAGATATTTAGGGTAGAGAGTTTGAACATTGAAAACGGCAGGTCCTGTGAAAATTGGATCAGGAAAAAAACAAAAATCGGTAGAATTGGGTATCCCGCCAGTAGAGAGGTAGACAACATCCAAAAGCGGTAGAAACCCGACAACATCGGTAGATTACACATGTATGATTTTATGGTAACTTATGTTTCATGTTACAAAGTAGGTTAAATGCTAATTGTATTCATTTGCTACTCTTTTAACGACTGTTCTAACATCTCCAGATTTTGAAAAAAAAATCAAATGTTATTGTCCACAAAAAATGTGAAATCATATAATTGAGAAACATGGAGGTATAAAAATGAAAGATTATTTGATAAACCAACCTAATAAAATAATATACACCAGGCATGATAAACTGATGAACATAAGCTGATGGTGAATCTCTTGTCAATCCACTAGAAAATCCTTTTTCAACATAACTCCCTTGATGAGTCACCTAAAACAACACATAAAGGGATTGTGATTTATTGGAAAACAACCAATATTTTTATATCATTATCATATATCACCTAGGATTACTTTAACTGAAACAAATATATTCAGAAAATGATCCAAAGGCCATTCAGAAATAAAACCTGTAACATTTACTAGCATGTGGAATTTTTGTCTATGGTAATATATTTGAAAATGAAATGAAATGAATTGAGTTTTACATCCTACTTTTCTGCACCATGTGGGCTAATGAAAATGGGCAATGCCATGCAAGATGCAATGAGTGAAATTTTGCCAGGACAGCGGCATTAGCCTGCTCTTTTTCGATTTCCAACTTTAACATGCACAGCCTGTAGCACACGGGGCCTCGGTTTATTGTCCCATCCGAACGACTAGACGCTTTTTCCATGTCAGCCCCTCTTAACTGCATCACTGACAATGGGAACCAGGTTGAAAAATCCGAAGGCATTATCTCGACCTATGCCGGTATTGAACCCTGGACCTTCAGGTTAGCGAGCAAGCGTCTAACTCACTGAGCCACCGCGGCTCCGGAAATATATTTGAGGATTAGCCATTGTTTGGAAATGAAAATTCCAAACATTTACCTGTATAATATTATGCTGTTTTTTACAACCTTGCCACACCCACCAGACTCTATCATTAGGTCTTATTGTCACAACTTTGGGTTCAAAACCATCATCTGTTAAATGTACGGTGTTATTCTGAAAAATAATAAATCAAATCAAGATATGTGAAAATCGTAGCCAACAAAATAATAATAAAAAAAAATTGACAAAAGCATATGCCTTGTACACATAAACCAACCAACCTTCTTACTAATATTTTCACATACATACCTTGGATCCAGGATTAACAATGACAGAACAGGTATTAATATTTTCATCTGTTTCTGCTATTCTATAATGATAAACTCCAATTGTTGTAAATTGACACGTAGCTAAACCAGACATAGTTATTAAGCTAGCTGATTCTTCATCTAACATATGATATAAATCTACAATAGAAAATAATAAATATTTGATTTTCAGTTATTGATAGCATTATATTATATCACAATTTAATAAAAGTTAATAATACCATATTCTGACATTGAAATAATAATATTTCGAATTATCCCAATTTACAATGCTAATGATACCTTCTGATATTGAAATAGTGATAAATTTTTTTTTTCATAATTGGAGAGTATCCTTCCATCTTGTGGCAGTGGAATAACTCAGTCGGTTGCTAGTCGGATTGTCATCTCCAAGACGATTAAGTGCCATGGGTTTTAATCTTCAGTTCGGGAAGAAAACTTTGAATGCCAGTGCTATTGCTTCAAAAGGTTACCCTGGTGTTGTCTTTCTTTCCCTATCACCTACCAGCAGACATCAATTACCTATTATATTATTATCATTATCTAGTATTCAACTAATAAACAAAACTACCTTCTGATATGGGTTCACTAGTTCTATTATTAGTGGCTGGATTTAAACATTTATCATCTTCTATTATAAGTAAATTATCAATAAAATTAGTGACTGTTTCACCATCCCACTTCCACCATATTCTATCTCCTGTACTGATATAACTTAATTCTAAAAAGATGATAAGGGCAATGTAACTCTCCTGTTTAGGTGGATGAGTGAAAGAGAGTTGCACGGTGCAAAGTTGAGACACAGAGGCTAAATAACTAAATTCACACAGGCAGGCTATTGTTTTCCTTGCTTGTGGGTGAAGCAGCCCAAGTTTGTTTAGACATAGAGGCCACTTAAGACATATTCTTTGATATTGCATTTATTAACACCTTATTTCAAGTTTACATTTAATCACGATTCCATTCACACAATTTGATTGGATAACAGCGGTCACATGCATTTGGTTTGCATCTGTGTAAACAGAATGTAAATATAAGCTCTGCCCCTAACAGACTACTTTTATCATTGACTTTCATGGACATGGCTGCTACACTGTGTCTACGCGCATTTATACAGGGTTTTTTCTGTTTAAACATTGATAAACTGAAAAAATGTTCAGGTCATTTCTTAACTAGATTTATACACTGATTTATTGATGGTACTATAAGAATATTGTGTGAATATTTTCAATAAATTCTGTTTATCATGCTGAAAGTATTTGTCAAAAATGCCATGAAACTATGGGACAACTGCCATATACTCCGCAAATTGGATAGATAATTTCATAATCTGAAAAGACTTTGTTGAAGAAAATATTGTACTTACCAGCACTAAAACCATCCCTTGTTAATTGAATAACATGTTCTTTTTGTTTAGGTTTAACAATAACAGATCCAATATATTCTGCCGCTTCATCAAAATTCTGATCCGAAAAATAAAATACTCCAGTTTTATGAAATTGATGAGATAATAAACCTTGTTTGCTAAAAATAAAAGATCAGATTGATACAACATAAGGAAATGAGAAGTTAGTAATACAATTAAAACCACTGTGGATTGAACAAAATAGAAATGTCAATAACAGTTTCACTTTTGGTGTTTAAAATAATTTGAAATAAAAAAAATTCAAATGTCATCTGCCATGCATATGATCTGACTCCTTAGTAAAGCCGTGAAAAGATCAAGAGAAACTTAAAGCTTTTTTAGTATTTCACACAATATCTTAATTCAAGGCCACAAAGACAAGTAAAAAAATTGTTACAGCACATCAATCAAATCTACAGTAGATAAAAACATGAACTAATTACCTTGGAGCTGACCATCTAAACCCATCTTTAGTTGGCTGAAAAACACATTTATGTCATGTCAATTATTATTTCTGTTAATCATATTATCAATACCCAAAATTTCAGAGGTAAAATTAAATTTTAAAATTATATTCTAACATCATACATATGAATTGTCTGCAAATGTAGAATTTCAATTACTTGGTGCAGTGTCCTATTGCTTCTCAGTCCCTACCCTAAATTAAAATAAATTCACTGTAACTTACGATATAAGGTTCATCATCACTGTATCCTAGTGGTGGGGCTTCAATTTCATATACACTGTGGGATTTCTTACACTAAAATGACATAATTCATAGAAATTATCAAGTTAAATTAATTAAATACAAACGCGATTAAAAATGTAAATTAAGTAGGAAATGTAAATTAAGAAGGAAACGTAAATTAAGAAGGAAATGTAAATTAAGTCTGAAATGTAAATTAAGTCGGAAATGTAAATTAAGTCGGAAATGTAAATAAAGTAGGAAAAGTAAATTAAGTAGGAAATGTAAATTAAGTCAGAAATGTAAATTAAGTCGGAAATGTAAATTAAATCGGAAATGTAAATAAAGTAGGAAAAGTAAATTAAGTAGGAAAAGTTAATTAAGAAGGAAATGTAAATTAAGTCGGAAATGTAAATTAAGTCGGAAATGTAAATTAAGAAGGAAATGTAAATAAAGAAGGAAATGTAAATTAAGTCGGAAATGTAAATTAAGTCGGAAATGTAAATTAAGTCAGAAATGTAAATTAAGTCGGAAATGTAAATAAAGTAGGAAAAGTAAATTAAGTAGGAAAAGTTAATTAAGAAGGAAATGTAAATTAAGTCGGAAATGTAAATTAAGTCAATCAGAAATGTAAATTAAGTCAATCAGAAATGTAAATTAAGTCGGAAATGTAAATTAAGACAGAAATGTAAATTAAGACAGAAATGTAAATTAAGTAGGAAATGTTAATTAAGAAGGAAATGTAAATTAAGACAGAAATGTAAATTAAGACAGAAATGTAAATTAAGTCGGAAATGTAAATTAAGAAGGAAATGTAAATTAAGACAGAAATGTAAATTAAGACAGAAATGTAAATTAAGTAGGAAATGTTAATTAAGGCAAATATAAATTGTGTGGGAAATAACAAATCAAGTAAGAAAACGTATATCACATCAAAATAACATTTATATGATCACAATATTTTGGTTTATGTAAATACCAACCTTATTTTTATCCCAATGAAACCAAACTCTATCTCCTTCTTCTATTAATAATATCATAGGTTGAAATGAACTGTCCAATACCTCTAATTTGTATTCTCTACAAAAAAACACAAAGTACAAACTGAACTAATGGCCAATTTACATGGTATATTTTGAAATGTTACTATAATTATCTAAAAACAAAAATAAACTGAATGTAATGGTGAAAAAATCATGAAAACAGATTGTTTTTATGAAAGTTAACTCACAGAAGATCATTAGGATCATTCCCTCTTTTGACATTAAAGTAAAAACCAAGTACGGTATGAATTTAATAAATCAGTGTTCAAATGGAGAAAGTAAACTAACACAACTCTTATTTATTTTGAACTAGCATTTTAAACTTTTAAAAAATTTGTTTGCACTATAAGCATAATTTTTTTATTCTTATATCTTACTATGATATAAATATGTCAAAATGTATGCTGTAAATTGGACAAAACGGTCACTATAATGCTTTACTAAACTTATCTTTTAAATTACAATATAATTACCTGCATGTATCATGTACTTGTACAACACAAAGATGTGTTTTTCCTACTTCTTGTCCACTTTCAGATAAAAAATAATAAATACCAGATCGTCTAAAATGAGAAATCATTCAGATGCATAAAACTTCATCAAATAATGATTAGAAAGTTGATTAGAACTAAGGTAAGAAAAATAACATAATAGAGCCAATGGAAAGAATTAAAAAAAGGCAATATTAAAAAGTATCAACAATTGGGTACTGAACTAATCCTTCTGAAAGTCATTAGATAATACCTGTGAACCAGCATCATACTGAAGCTATTTTTATTGACTTTTTTTGTATAGATATAAAATGAACTTACTGAAATGTATGTTTGTAGGCACCAGTTACTGTGGCAACCATACTGTAATATCAAACAAAAGGACAGATAAAAACTAAAAGACATTTCATGAATTTGAATTTAAAAATTGGAGTACTTTAGTTCATTGTTATGAACCTCAAAACATGTTGTTTTGACTGCATGCAACAGCTTTAACTGATCTATATTGCATTGCATATTGAATAGGTGATATCTTGAGTTTATGGTCTATGACATCACTGAGACTTGTTTTAGAAGTACAAATACACTTTGATTCACTTTTCTGCAGCATTTGGCCTACCATAGTTCTAGCAGAGCAAAGTTACAATTCTACATTTGACACACCAATAGGCTACCAGTGTGAAATGTTGTATGACCTATTACCTAGGAGTAACAGATTGTTTCTGGAAACATCCTCTATCCATGATGTAGGTGATCTCTTGTATGGTATGTGGTACCGAACAGTTCTTCCACCACCATTTTACTGAATGTCCTATATCTATATTAATAATCTCTGGTTGGAATCCATTATCTGTTACTCTAGCATCATAGTCTGATCTTTTCTTGACAATAACATTGAGAGGAGTACATCTCATTCCAGATCTAATTTGCAAATAAAAACTTATCTTTAAAAGAACAACAACCTGTTTGATCTTATCTGCTATGAAAAACAAATATACAAGTATGGTCATTGGGTAGCTCCTTCATTAATATATGACCTTTCATCGGATTCATCAGAAATAAGCCTGATTTCTATCAATCTCTGCAAAAGTCTGCAATTGAACTAATTAGTTTTGGACTAATTACTTACTATTTCCCTCTAGATTATCTACTATTTTCAAAGGAAAACTTTTCATTCTGGAGAAGCATAATTATATAGCAAATGATATTTCAATTCATATTATAATCTCAATTGATTGATTTGAAAATAACTTACAGAGCAAATTTATATTCTCCCTCCAGATTAAACTGTTGTCTAAACAGGCCATCACAGTCCTCAGGATTAGACTGGTATCCACCAATAACAGGTCGTAATTTCTCACCATCATGTACAACTTGTAATAAACTTAATTTAGAAGATTTATCTTCCCATAAAAATTGTATGCTCTGAAAAATATACCATGGTACCAGCATTTAAATTTTTCATCCTGAAATCAGTTACTGAGTGAAACTAAGGGGTCAATTTTATGAAAATTCAAGATGGGTTTAATTTTTGGTCATGGCCCTAAAATCCTATTACCATTAGTGGTAAAGTATGAAGGTTTTAAGACTCAAGTCTTCAACTATATTCATAGAAATAATCTCCTCTTCAATTGATAATTTTGGTTAAATCCTGAACAATAACTCTTATATTGTTCATAAATCAAACGGCACAGTCAAACTTATTGACGATGTCACTAACATTCAATTGTAGAAGAGTCAAGATTATTTTTACAAGCCATTGTGATAATATAAAAAAAACTTGGTAAGAAAAAAACAATATAATCGATATCATCATATTATAGAACAAAGTTTTTTATTTGCCCTGATGTTACTTTTTTTGTCGTATAATATGATTGGATTGAAATACTTATCCAATATGATTTGTTTGAATAGAATAACAAACAGTTAATTCTATGTAACTATATATAAATAAACAGACTATTCAACATAGGAATAGATTTATATACTTATCAAAAGTAAACAAGAGAACTAATAATGATAGAGCTAGCCAAATAAATAATTTAATATAGTGATAAATATTGATATTATATAGCTACTTACTTGACCTTCTCTGACCTCTATTTGATTTTCGGAGAATCCAGATTGTGCTACATGTATCACTATACCATCAAAACTACCGTCTGTAACAGATGATAATTTGTTTTTAAATAATAAGTCATCTTATTATTTGTTAAAAACATCTGTAACATATTTCAACAAGTGGTTGCTTGGCAAGATACAACCACTTTTATTTTTAACACATGTTTGGTATATCAAGGGCTGTAATTCAGAAATTATTTCATATTCTTTAAGATTTTAACTTGTCCAACATCTTGTAAACAAACACACCAAATTTGGTAAAAATCTAACACAAATGTGACAAGTTGTTATTGTGGACGTATAGATGAACAGATGAGGATGACAGCAATAAACTTCCACATTAAAATTTGGTAAAGTGAAAAATTATGTGACTATTTGGCCTCAAAGTTGTATGTGTTTTGCAATTTTTCTAGTGACTTAACCTTTATTGAATTTTTGTGTTTATCAAGTTGTAACCAATTTTTTGTCATTTGTAAGAGATATATATATATATAGCATTTTATCCTCAGGTTCTAATCATTGCAGATAACCAGAGTCCAAAACTTCATCAAAATCAGTTGAAAACTATAAAAATCTTTTATGCTTAAGGTCTTGTGAAGTTAATGATGGATATTGATGTCAACAATATAATTTTCCAATTACAATGTGGACGTATATAAACAAAGAAAAATAAGTCATAAGTCTATTCTGTATTTCCTTCACAGATTTGGAAAATATAAACAATGTTATGCATCAGGGAATAGGCACTTATCCATCCTAATCCAAAAATCAATGTCTAATTGACCTAGCAATAGAAATATCAATAAATCCCAGTTTAAACCTTTATACAGAACCTTACCTTTCATTTTATACGAACAGATTATCCTAATCCCTACCAGATTGAAGAATATGATATACAGTATGTTATAAAAGGACTCTAATCCAACCTAATCCTTTACACAGTATATTTTAAATGACCTGGTCTATATGAGGTATATTAAGTAATGTATATGGACAGATGTGTGGAATTAAAATAAAACATTAAGGGATAATCTAATTAAATAATTAGTACATTGTTTATAAAGATAAAGTAATTAGGCCACTGAGCATTCCAGTTAATGTTTCTAACATATGTTAACCAACTATTTCTTCAAAACTGTTATCACTTATTTTCTAAATAAGACTAGTGCAAATTAATTTGTTGTTTTACAGAGGCAAGAGGGAAAAAAGAATAAAAGGAAACTTTAGTGTGAAGGTCCCTAGAGAAATTCTTATATTATGAAAGCCACGATTGACCTTCGACTTTCTCACAATTGATTTAATCAAATACCATATATTTCATTAAGAAAGGGAGTTTCTAATAATGAATTTTTTTTTCATTGGTAATAAAAGTTGCTTTTTTTCTAGCAGAGCTGATTTTGATATTTGTTCTTTCAGTTTTATGAAAGATATCACTAGATATAGTCAGCATGTTTGGGATAAACAATAGACTAACCTAGATATTCAGGATGAAGTTAATTATACTTATCACACATCATTCATTAATATTTCATTACTAATCTCTCATTTTATTGATTTTTTACCCTAAGAAATGAAATGATCACCCCAGTCGAAATCTGACACATCACTGATTATTTACATATATAGATGATAAACAACATGTTTTTAATGAAATGAAACAAAAAATATATGCTAGTACCGTACGATAAGGAAACAAAAAAGAATATAATAAATCTTTTTTATTTTGACCATCTGCTTATCTACTATATTTACAAATTTTTTCCCGATAAGCTGTAAACTAAGTTCAAACCAATATACTTCTAATACATTTTGTCCATTGTAAAGAAAATCTTTTGGCCACTACGCATATTAACTTATAGATAATAACTAGTATAGTACCAAAATATTGGAATATTGGACTGAAATAGGTATTATTTACAAGAAACTATCCATTTTGTAAGATGAGATTGTAAAAACTGATATATTTTGATTTGATTACTATCTTTTACAGATCTTTCATAGAAACATAGTCAATTTTGAACTACCGGTATCTTAAATATCCCTCCTGCCTGATTATAAATACCAATTTTCAATAGAATCAAAAGGATGAAAACTGAAGCTTCTTTCAGAAAAACCCTGATCGTTCACAGTAGGTAACTCACCTATATCTCTTCCTTTTTCTTCATTAAATGAAGAGTCTCTTGACTTTTGTGGGGTAGGTGTTTTCCTAGCTTTAGATGCCATATTAGAAGGTGTTGTGTTTCTGCTGCGTAATTGTTGTGAACCAGGATTTTGGGGGTTTTCTACAATTATATTACCAGTCTCTGTCGAGGCTCCATTTCCCATTATACACAAAACTACAAATAAAATATTATCATCATTACATAGTATTACTCTTATTTTTTGCCAAATTGTAAAACCTTTTTAAAAGAGTGTTTGTTTACATTCAACATGATAATTCAAAGTCAATATAAGACTATGATTGATATGTACCAGTATATTACTATGCAGCTAAAATTCAATTCACTTTAAAAATAATCAGTAAAACTTTATTAAGGCTACTGATCAAAGTAAAAAGACTTTAAGTTTAGCTGAAAATAATTATATACAAGTATCTCATGTTCTAAAAACAGCAAGAAATCAAACTTTCACACTCTCTTTTAGAAACAAAATGGTTTGTCTAAAGTGGAAAGAACTATTACATACTGAAATAATTCTGAATCTATATGATTTTTATACATAATATCGTCTTTTAATTAAAAGGTAATTTGATAGTATAGTAAGCTTATGTCTGGAAGTCAGAGATAGAATTCAAAGGACGTCACTATATTGATTAAATATTGATCTATATATACATTCAACAGTCAACACAAAGGTGGATTTTTATGTTTTTTTGACAAAACTCAGGTCTTCTGAATGTACAATGTTACTCAAAACAGAATGTCCATAAGACAAACTCTTTGAAAGAGTGGCATCAGGTGTTCTGAAAGAGCATACATGCCTTGCCCAAATAGCAACAACATCCTTCATAGTACTTACAGCACCCAATTTTTTATCAAATAAAGACTTCCAACAGCACAGTAATTGTGTAATATTATTTACATCGACCAAATACACTGTCAGATATGTGGACTCAAAAACCCAGTGTCATCAGGAGATGTTTGCTTCTTTAGAATGTTCTCTTAAAGAGGAATTCCGCCTTTTTGTAAAAAGTTTTCATTTTCAAAAGCATCGTAAATTATATCTGAAAATATTTCTAAAGTGTGCTATTTATATCTATGTATCTTCTGAATTAAACTGAATTTGTTTTAAAAGGGCATAATTAGAAACAGAGAGTACTAATTGTTAATTAAGCAGTTTGACCTAGATTTGGTGTTATAATGGCTCGTTCTGTTTAGTTGAAACCTTAAGAATACCTACGAGGCGTTTATTTTACTCAAATCTGTACAGTAGATTTCAAACAGCGTGCAAAAAACATAACAAACTTCAAAACCTTAGTCATGTTTTCAAATATATTTGGTATTTAGATACATTAGAGGGCACATTTCTCTAGATTTTAGTGTATAGTTTTCACAAATTTGAGCCGCAAAATTGACGACCTACAAAAAAAAAGCGGAATGTCCCTTCAAAACTCATAAAATTTTTTTACAATCCCTTTAAGGTTGAACTCTGGTTTTTTTGGTTTTAATCAGACATGACCAACAAATACCACAAGTCAAATCAACATCCCTAACAAACAATAATTATTCATCTTCATAGTGTTTCATAGTGTTATATAATAAGAGGTTAGTGCTCAATTGATTACTGATTACATGCTGTCTTGTTATATGATATGACATTCAAAAGACAACCTTAAAGGAAAAAGTTAGAACTAAGTAAGTCAATCAAATGATATTGATGAAATTCTTTAGAATTTACCCTAAAAAAGCGAGTTTACACTACAGTCAAGTAACCTAATTTCGTGGTAACGTATTTTTCGTGGATTTCTGGAAAGGATTAATAATTTACATGTGCGACCTTGCATGACCTCCGCATTTGCTTGTTTTGATAAACATTGGTTTTCTGTACAATGTAAGCTAGTAGAATGAATTCAGTAGTTTCAAGCAAGGTAAAATGTATTAATGTATACTTTGACAAATACAAAATGGCGGATTTCACTTATTACCAAACGTCACCATTTTTTATCGGCCGAATTTTCTTATAATACCAAGCGGTAATTGGAATTCCAAGTGTCGTCTGCTAGAATGTAGTCCAACGAATGAAGTCACGTGACCATTAGCGGATTCCGTGTCGGCAGAAAATTTCTATGGAACACAAAGTGGGCCATATTCTTATGTTGTTTCAGTGACTTTTAGCAATAAATCACGCTACATATCTTATTTTGTCAGTCACTATTTTTTTTTTAAATCGTGTTTCTTTGAAGGAATTGTCACTAGTTATAATGAATTGATATTAAAGATAAATACTAAGAGAAGTTAACTATACCACTGGGTATGCATACAACGTGTTTTTCTTGACTTATTTATAGTTCAAACATTGTACACGAAAATAGGTGACGTAATCGGCGGCCGTTGCCGAGTTGGTTGCTCATGAAACATTGGTCAAAGTGAAGGATTCATGCAGAAAATCAAAACAAACGAATCTTAATTATTTTGTAGAATATCTGAGGAAACATTTAAGACATAAAAAAAAAATTTCTTTTTTTTTAACTTTGACGAAATTCGGTGTTAAATCCTTATATGCACGAAAATAGGTTACACCACTGTATATACTATAATTATAGTACCATACCGGGTACCTTAAAATAAGAAGTCTGTGATTTATTATGATACACCTTTTTCTTCTGAGAGGTTTCAAAAATCCTAAAAGTATGTATTTTTATAACAGTTTAACACTTTTTTGAATATACACTGTATGCTGAAAACACACACCGGCTGATACAAAATGTACTTCCTTTCCCCTACTATTAGCTGTCACTGAATGGGTTTAGCAACAATCATAACAAATCAAATTACAACTCGCACTCAACTTAAATATTTAAAATTTACAGATAATTACAAATCAATAAGTTAAAAAGTTCATAAAATAATATTTCAACCAACCTTTTCACGAATTTTAATGATCAGAAACATTGTCTAATATTGACCACAGATCAACAATAATTTGCAAGAGCAGCCATTTTGTTGTCAATGACTACGAGTAAATACCGTATGACTTTTAAATCGCCCAAGGGTCATTTCGTGTATAATATGCGAGCAATTTGCACGCAACTCTACTCACGCCTTTTTGCAACCATTATTTTTAGACCTCTGCCTTTAATTGTTTTTCCATTCATACAGAGTACATACATGTAAATTTTAAATTATCATGTAATTTGTTCATTAGGGTAAATAGGGGATAAACGATCTAAAGAATGGGGGTGTCATTTTGTCTTTTCTTACAGTTTGCAGACAACAGCAAATTTCCAAATTTCCATTTCCAAAAAAGAGAAGTAAAACCAGCTACATTCTTTTCATTAGAAAAGTGGAATTTTTTTCAATAAAGGGATGGTCAAAGAAGTAGCCTAATAAGGAGTTAAAGGGCTTGGACTACCTATAGTAATATAGTCAGATATTTGTATGATTTTCAGAATGTCTAGTTTGATTCACCTGCATTTTAAAGAGAGGAACAAAAAATCATATGCCCTACAAAACATAGATTTTCTAGGAGTTAACATTTAGGCCTAAAGTTGCTTTACTTTAGATGTAGTTTTTAGGCATATAATTAACATTATTTAATTAGAATTAACCAAAAAGGTTGATTTCGTTAGGCCTATAATTTCCAACGAAGTACAAGGCCAAGGGCAAGGCAAAGAAACACATTATAACACTACATTATATAGGCCTACCGGGAGTTCCAAACTTTATGAAAAAAAGAGCCATGCAAGAGTTCAGAAAGAGACAACAGGCGATCAACTAGGTCTGAGCATAAAAAAGGTTAGGCCAAGGGATTTTTTTTTCTAGAACAATATAGCTCTATTTTAAAAGGCTTTAGATTTTATGGAGATTAATTGCTTTCTTTCAAAAAATTCGGCAAGTTAGGCTTATCCTTAACAAAAAAGGTACAAAAACAAAACAAGATGGTCAATGTTGATTATTAGATCCATTAAATCCAAATAGGAGAAAACCCCGATCCAACGAGTTTCCTGATCATATTTCATACCTATTTAGTGATTACGAATATTTTGAACAGATTCGAATACCCCTTTAGTCTTTCCTTTAGCTGATTTGATTGGCTTACGATTTGTTTACCTTAAGAATGGCTGACATTGGAAATATTGAGAACAAGAAGTTTAGAATTAGGTTTGAGACATTCTCGAATTATTTCCTTCCAAATAACTTATACTAATAATATTGAATTTACAGCAAGGGAGATGTAAACATACAGGTCTGGGCCTAGTTGAGTACACACTATTGCTGGGCTGGCATCATTATATTAGTATGACTTATGCCAATATGTAAAGAGAGCTCAGAAATGGTGCCAAATGCAAAGATGTAAACATTTCATGTTCCGACATTAACTTGCGGTAAGCCTGCATGTAAATGTCAAAAAATGGCAACTTTCCACATTTATACAGTAGTAAATCTGGAATGTGAATACATGTTTTTGACATGGACTTATTAACCCGTATTTAACTAAGTCCTTTTTTACACTTCGGTTTGTGGCTGTGGAAATGAGATTGGTGCTATTTGAATATGACCAATGTGGAAATGAGAACGGGAGAACAAAACACAAAATTGATTTGCCGTCACTCATTTGAAGAGATAAGAATACATATTTTCCACTTCTTACTTACATCTTACTTACATCTTACTTAATTTTGCATCGTTCATACTAATCAATACATTTAATGACACGCTGCTTTCGTTTTGTTTAATTGTATTGTCTGAGATTTCCTAGAAAGATTCCAGGACCAATTTTGATTGGACAATATTTATCTATGAATATGTAAAATTCATCACTTGTATTACTATGGCTCTGAGGAAGTATGACGAATGGGGATCTGTTTTGGGCAAGATGCACTGTTATAGGCATATCGATATTTACTAGGCCACCTTCATTATTGTCACTGAGTTTTATCTTTTGGACTTTAGAGATTAGGGTGATTGAAAATAACAAATTACTATTCAATATAAAGCACTGCACAGGGTTAAAGTGTTGTTTACAACTATTATGGTGTTGATATTTAGTAAACTAAGTAAAATAGTAATTTCGAAAGGATCTAAAAAAAATAAAAATTAATGATTCTAGTATATATTCTTCTTATATCTATCCAAACAATTCACTGTAAAGTATAAAGGTAGCAAATACATAGAAATGTTTTGTATACCATGTATCTTGTTTGAAATTAGTTTGGCCAACTATTAGGTAGAGTAATGGTCAATTGCCTCTCTTTTTCTTAACTCTTGGCTGTTTTTTCCAGAGATGTAGACATTAAGTTGAACTACCCTGAACTCTTATTATTTTTATCATTTTACAGTTGAAAATGTTTCAAGTTCAAGATGTATAAGAATGATTATCAGGTAATATTTTATAGAGCAGAAGCTCCTGTTGTTGGAGGTGGCAATAGACTAAAACTCTTCTGAACTGTTCTGACTTAAATGATTAAAGTTGAACTTTTAAAACAATTTAATGGCAAGAAAGGTGAAACTGTGGAGGTAGAGGACATTGTATTTTAAAAGAAAGATTTTTTAATAATCACACCTTTCTCCATGCGCAAGAAGAAAATCAATCATGTTCCTTTTAGAAAAGTATGATAGGTCTTAAAAAATGTTGCACTGTATTTAATCATTATACAGGGTGGTCCATATTTTGAAATATTTAGTGCCCAAGGTAAAGATTCAACAAGTAATTGGAAAGTAACTGGTGGAGTCAAACGGGTAGGCTTTTTACTGTTGTCCATAGGCCTGTCATGGATAATACCAGTACACATTGTTATCATTGCATTAATGTCATATTTGAGCCTGCAAAAGCAAAGCAGATGGATTATTTGGACTCGATTTTAAAATTGATAATTTTTTGCGGCTGTACAATAATTGTATTCAATGTGATGGAGATGTTGAGCTCAGAATATTTGAATCTGTACAATCATTGTTTAAGTTAGTTTTGTAGCTCAAAATCAGAAATGACGATTCATATTCTATTTGGTGTTTTCAGATTTATGCGAAGGATGTGAAAAGTTTTGTGTATATATTAGAAGGAACACCAGCTGCTTGTAAAATATCTACACCTAAAGATTCCAAACAATCATGTAAGTTTCTAGACACATCTTGTTGAATGTTTTGATTACCATCCTGTTCAATTTTGAGGCTATTTGATCTGGTCATAAATGCCTACTGGGTGAAAATATGTAAGTGGTCAATATTTTTCATCAGTAAGATATTCTTTTTTTAGTGGCATTGGTGCAACATTTTTTAGTTTTTCAAGTTTATGTTAATAAAGGACAAGATTTTTCCATTCAGATTGGGTGAGTATTCAAAATATGATCCTTATGTTAAATGATTTTAAATGTTGGCATAATGTTCTTGAAGAACAGAGGTGCTTACATTTCAATTCTTCCCATTATGTACAAAATGAAAAGACTTTTGATTTCCATCTGTGATTGTTAGATGCATGACTTTGCATGCATTAGTCATGCAATACTAGAACCTATTTACTGACATTATATATATATAGCCTATACTTTGCTATTTTGTAGTTTAAATGATATTGGTAATAATAAAAGACGTTTATTTCTATCTACATCACAAAAAGAAACACAAGTAACTCCACTTCATGCTAAAATACCATTAACAGTATTAAAAAGATCAGTAGTAAGTAAAATTTTTTGATGACCTTTTTTATGTAAGTGAATTTTTGTCTCGACTAAAAACACTCATGCCCAGGAGATCTTTGATTTCTTGTTAGAACTAAATTATGGTGTTTTATATGCCATATTATGTAGGTTGACGTTGCATATAGGGATTTAAAGAGGTTCTCTAGCCTTTCATGTGTATCGGGTTGGTTACGAATTCTCTTGCAGTAGCTGTGTCATTTCCAGTTAACTCTTTCTGGAATTGTAGGAACCACAGGCATCAGACGAAGAATTGAAATGTCTCAAATAGATGTCAAAGGTTTCCTGAAAACACATAAAAAGGCTAGAATACCACTTTACAATCCCTTTAACAAGTGAAAAACACATCAATCTTGAGTTGTCAATGTTGTAAATGTATTAGTATGGTGGTAAACTGATGGGTGTTTTGTGAGGATTTCAATGATATAAATGGTTTTACTTTTTTTCTGAATAAATGTTTTATAAAAATGTCATTTTCGCATATCATACCCCTTTTCTGATGCTTGTAGTACCATTATATCTGTATATTTGATAATATGTATTTTGTAGTGGTTGAACCTATGTTTAGATATGATATCTCTGGTTGGAGATGTATGGAAAGGACAGACTTTCAGATCTATTGAAGATGTTTGTATATCTGCTAACTGTCATTTACGACGTATTTATACATTAAAATCTCAACCTCCTGACACCACAGATGATGAGGGTAGGTATATTTATTAACTTGAAACAACTTAGTCAGGAAAATATATTCACTTGATTTATTGAAAAATTATGTGAAGGAGATGCTCACATCATTGAGTAGTAAGTCATGGATAAACGTTGAAAAGAGAGGATTTAATTGTGTCTGTGTGAGTGTGTATTCACTCAATATGAAATTGTTTTGTTTCAGATGTTTATGGTTGTCATAGTAACAATGATATTATATTAGAAGCAATACCAAAACAGTGTTCTCTATCATCTGATTTATTATCCTTAACACAGGTAGGCTGAATTTCATATTGATACAGAAAATATATATATATTATGCATAGCAGTTACCATTTGCTATGAAATTATGTCCAGTTATTCATTGTCCATTGATTATATGTGTAGAATATTTGGTTGAAGTAAGAAAAAAAAAACAAGAATAACCTAATTAAAGTTCTCATCTACTAGATGCTTTGTGGCAAAACCAGTGGCAATACCTCGATGATTTGCTGTACCATTTTACGACTTGTGTAATAATCAGAAATATGGCTTTTCAGTGTCATCATATTATCTCACTCTCAACATTGGAAACCTCAGAAATGACAAAATTTTTAATGAAATGGATAATATTATATTTTTAACTTATAAATTCAAATACATACTAGAGCCACACGTGGCACAGAGTGGGACTTTGCAAATGTAGCAAAATGCAAAAGACCCTGAAAAAATCAACCTTCCACGATAATTAGATCAAGCGCAAGAACAGTCTAAAGTTGAGAAATTTTCCTTTTTTTTTAGAAGATTTTAATACCGGAAGTGGACGTCAGACCTCACAAATGAAAGTATCAGCAGATAGCCAAGGTCAATGACCTTTGAACTTGTAAAGGAGAAGGCCTTAAAAGGTCAAGATCAAGAGATATACGCCATTAAAATTTCAAATTGCTAACGACTATAAAACCAGGAGTTGACTTAGGACAGCAAATATAAAAGTATAAATAGATAGCCAATGCCAATGACGTTTGATCCTACAAAGGTCAAGGTCAACAAAGGTCAAGGTCAAAAATTGAAAATTTTGAATTTCCAAAACCTTTTCCTTTTTTTGAACTATGAAGCGGAAACAACCAAAATTCTAAGACAAAGTGGCTCAAAATATGAGGTAATTGTGTAAAAAGTTCCATTTTGAACAAATGTATACTTTGCGAGTTATGCCCCTGGCCAAAAATGTCAATAATGAGTAATTTAACCCGGAAGTGCCACGCCCAACTCAATTTTTTTTGAATAAGTTAATCAATATTCAAAATGTTACGTTATGTTCCAAATGTCAAGTTCCTACATAATAGAGGTCAAAAGATATAGGTCAACAAAAGTCAACAAGGGTCAAAATCGAAAAATGAAAATATCCAAATGTTAAAACCCGTTCCTTTTTTGAAACTATAAAGCTGAAACAACTGAGCTGTTAATACATACTGGCCAAAAGGAAGAGGTAATTGTGTGCAAAGTCTCTTTTTGAACAAACGCATCCTATGCGAGTTATGCCCCAGCCCCAAAATGTAAACAATTAGTAATTCAACCCGGATGTGCCACGCCCACATAAGTTTTTTTGTCATAGGTGAATTCATATTCAAAGTGTCTAGTTGTATTCCAAATATCACGATTCTACATCAAATAGATCATAAGATATACATACACCAAGCTCAAAAAGACGCAAATATTGTAAAAAAAACCTCAAATTTGAAAAAATCACGAATTTCAATTTTGCCTTAAAATAACGATTGTTATATATCTATGTAAAGTGCATGAGAAGCACATTAGGAAACCGAAAAAATTAACCCTGTAGGTTAATTAGGTCACGTGCTAGAGCAGTCCAAAGTTGCGAATTTGGCTTTTTACGGATAGCTATAAAACCGGAAGTACATGTCGGAGGTCAAAGGTCAAAGTATCAAATGATAGCCAAGGTCAATGACCTTTGACCCTATGAAGGTCAAGGTCATCAAAGGTCAAGGTCACATGGTGTGATCGTTTAAAGCTTTAAAAAATTTCAACCGGAAGTTGCAAAAAAGCAAAAGCGAAATTCAAAATTCGGCTCCCAATGTTTTTTGCGCAATCGATTGCAGAATACATTCACATCAAATTTGAGCATATCAACTTTTACCCTGAGGCCCCATTTTGAGTTTTACAAAAGTGTTTTTTTTCAATATGGCGGCCAAAGTATCACTTCCGGTCTGGATTTTATTTTAAAATCGGCCATAAAATTTTATTTGCCAAAGATCAGCCGAATTTTGTTGACCTACATAAATTACACCGGAAGTTATTCAACCGGAAGTAGATTTGAAGTTCAGTCGCTTTCCTGTGAAAATCAGAAATG